ATAAATAAATAAATAAATAAATGGTATGTACAAAATGGGCAGAGCTTCAGTTGCTCACTCACAACCAACATCTTGAAATTTTGCCATATATCCCACTTTACAAATGCTACAGTCTTGCCCTTAGAACTGAAAAATGAACTAATTCAATAAGCTTCAATGATTTTCATTTTTTTTCAGATTCAGATTTTTAAAGTCTGTTCAGAAAAAAAAATAGACCCTGAGCCTTCAGGGGAATTATAACAGACACAATGGATCCCTGCAAGAAGACAGAGAGAACCATAATGATAGTGGTTCTCACTGATTTTTCAAGAAAGAAAGAAATGTCTGCTAGCTGGATCTTTCAGCTTATGAAGTAGGCTGTTTATCAGAAGAAAGCATCCATGCTGTAACAAAACAATCTCCAAGGCTATTATGTCCACTAAAGATGAGCAATTGCTTCAATATTTAAATAAAATACCCACACAAATGATCTCAAATTAAACTGGACTTAATTATCTAGCTTAGTCTAATCCATTAATCAAATTCAATAAGCTTCAATAGTTCAATAACCTTAAATACCACAGCTTCAGATGAAAAGCGGTGTGAATCTAGAGCAGTGTTTCTCAACCTTGGTTGCTTGAAAATGTGTGGCTAATGGAATTCTGGAAGCTGAATTCCATAAATCTTCAATTTTCCAAGGTTGAAAAACACTGATCCGAAGTTTAAATTCTTACTTTGTCTTCAGCAATTAATATATCATAGGCTTCTCTAAAAGCATCCACTTCTGTTTTAGCTGCCTTTACTGCTTCACTGGATATTACCTAGCAAAATAAACAAAGGTGGATATGATTGCTTGTCATTGGAACGTAAGATGTTAAATTATGTTAGCACAATTGGACTGGTGATTATATACAGGAACTCTGTTCACCCCCTGGGACTAACTTTACTGAATTCAGCATGTCCCTGGCATCAGTCAGAAATGTAAGACATTTTCTTAATCACATGGAAAACTACAAACAAGCAAAACATATTTTATCAGCAGTATGTGACTTTTGTGAAATGTAAGAGATATTTGTAAAGAATTATTGATAATATTTTCAAGAAGATGAGGGAACGTTATGGTAAATATTTGTTGAGTGGGCCACTTTGATTCCAAAAGGGCAGGTATCATGAGAAATAAATATTTTGTCAACGTCTCCCCCCCCATGCCTCAGATGTTCTTGCCTTTTCCTTCCTTTTTTTATTAAGATAGTGATGGAGTGCAGCTTCTCTTGAGGTCAGCTCTTCATCCAGAAGCAGTGAATAGATGAGGTTAGTTATTTTAAGTTCTTCCTAGTAAAAAGTTTGAAAAGAGAACAATAAGACTGCTGTTTATATTGAAGCAAGTATGATAAATATTATTCAAGCTCACCTGATATATAACCATTTCACAGTGGACTTTTTTGTCAAAGAGCCTGTTCAGGATTTCATCAAATCCTTGAGTACTTTCCTGAATTGAACCCTGAAGCTTTCTGAGTTCAGTTTCTAGAATCTGTGGAAGGAAAAGGTGCAGTGTCTCTATGTGACAATATTAATGGCAGATAAAAACAATATGTAAGAAATGCTTGACACCTTTTCAATTTAATACCAAGTAAGAATTTAATATCAAGTTATTAATAACTTAAAAGAAAATCCCCTTCATCAAACTCAGGTTTGTAAATATATTTTGTTAATTTCATGACATTAAGAAAAACTTAGAGAAAAGCTACCCTTATTTCTTGGTTATTCAAATTTAATGGAAATTTAATTTGTTAAGTGAATTGGTCCACTAGTTTCTTGTGAATTGTACACTATAAAAGAATAGCATTCAGAAAATAATAAAAGTAAACAACTAAGGTGGCATGTTGCTGACATCTATGGCATAAAAAGAAATTAAACCAAATACAGGAAAACTGGCGTGATCTTCTTTGTCTTATGAGGGAAAGTGAAGACTGCCTCATTCATGCTTAAGACTAATAATTCATTCCTATTTATTTAAAATTTTGAATATAAAATGTGATTATTTTTAAATCTGACAATGGAATATTTGGAAAAGAGATTACATTGGTCATATTTGACTATCTATGTTTGATTTAAAGTAATCAAGGAGGTTTTCCTAATAAAAAATGTTCCACTCTTTAATGAAAAAGAGCTTAATAATCTTTCTTTGTATCTGTTTACCTTTCGATGTTTTTCTCTTTCTTCATTCAGTTCTTTAACCTTCTTTTCATACTCCTTATATATTTTTTTTTCTTCTTCACTCCAAAGGGTTTCTTCTTTTGATGCAAATGGAGGTGGTGGAATCTCCTGAGTATATCGAAGAAAGCATACCGTATCAGAAACAACAGTGGACATTGGGTATTTGCAAAAACCAAACGTTTTAATTAAGTTAAATCTTAATTAAATTAAATTTAATTAAGTTCCAGAATGTATTTTCTAATGCATCCATCTTCTATGTCACATGAGAATAACATACTTTCCAATCTCTCTTTGGTATCTGTTGAACCCTATGGAAAGCCAGTTTTTAACAATTATGTGAGATATGGGAACTTGTTTAAAATAACTTTGAAAATAAATGTTTGAAACCTTTACAATTTTGGGTTCTTTGCATTTTGAACAAACCCCCGTTAGCTGGATTGACAGGGCCATGGAATCAGAGTGGGAAATCTCTCATATACTGTACTTTGTGATACAATTGGTTCTAATGATACTTTGGAAGTACATTGCTGGGCATCCGCTCTTATGACTCTGACAATACTTAAGGAGCGGGTTAGTCAGCTGCTTTTTCTGAGGAAGCAAGTAATGATGGACATGTTTTCTGTTCTTCAGGATTGTTACATGTTCAACACAGGATATTTCTGATATATTTGCTGCTAGCACACTTCTATGAATGGCATGTGGCAATTGCAGCTTTTGCAATTTTATGGATGATTTAGGAACAGTGATGATGATGATGGACATGTGCCCCCAATCCTTTGTCTCCCAGAATTGCATCTGTTGATTATATGTTGTAGTTAAAATGTTGTAGTTTATATGATTACCCTTTTCTTTGGAGTTTCTATCACTGTGCAATTAGCCCAAATTTCTACAGCATCAGAAAAAGAAAATCACCAAGTCAAAGAGTTAACTTATAATTTGAACTGTGTAGGCATTGAGATAAGGTTAAGATACCTACAGCTGTGTTCTTCTGAAGGTACCTGAAGGACATACAGTAGGTATCTAACTGCTTTAACAGTTTGTCTGGAGGGAGTGGGTTGCACTTATTTCCTAAACTATTGGGAATAGTTTCCTTAGTTCTGTGAGTTCTGTGTCTTATGATCTTTCTAATTCATAATTTCTGATGAATTTTTTTATTTTGTATTCATTTATTGTATTGTTTACTAGTTTGTAGGTAACAACATGTATACTTATACATGTGGGCACCTATGGATGGCATGCTTGTAAATTTAACATTTATTGCATGGTTTAATAACTCTGTTGCCTGCATACTGAAATTCTCTTATTTTTATTTCTGTATGTGCAAACTCAGCAATCTTTCCCTCATTCTTTGTCTTTCAGCAGCATTTTTCTGTAAGTCTTCTTGTCTATTATCTTCCTCCTTGTCTGCCTACTATCCTACCTAAATTTTTCAACTGCACCTCTCTGGATCAGAGATAATCTTTTGGGACAAGCGCTGATTATATTATATTAGTTGGTAATCACATGAAACCTTTATGATTTAATAGAAACATAACTCACCATCTTCAAAATATCTTCCTTTTTTATTTCAAGGACTCCATTCATCATGTCCATAAGGCCACGTTCTCTTGCATTGTCACCCTGAAGAATGGCAGAATAAAAGATCAGATAAAGAGTAGATAAAGGGTCAAGCTAGAAAAACTGTGGAAAATAAGGCACTGTGTCATCAGGCTACCTGAGCAGCAAGTCGTCTTTTATATTCAATCCGAGCCATAATTTTGTTTTTTGCCTTCTGCACTGGGGTTAAGTACATTTCTACTTTGATCTATGGGAACAAAAGATGAGGTTTAGCTTCTTCTATGAGCAAGCAATTCACTTTTTTCCCCCTAACAAGCTCCCCAGCTACAATTTCCTTTAAATTTTTACTTCATAACAAACATGGATTCTTTCAATCTGTGAGTACTCTACAAGATGTAAACATTGGAATTCTACAATGATAGTGCATATTTAAGATTGTAGAATAAATTAATACCTGTGCTACCCTGGTTTAAAGGCTTTTATATATGAGGTACCACTATTATACATTGGTGTAGTTGGAAAGAAAAGTTTGTTGTTATCTTAATAATAGTTTTTATCTGAACCACATACATGCATTCCATGTGTAATGTTTTTACTTTACTTTTCTGTCTAAGTAGACAATTGGCATCTCATAAGATTAAAAACCAAAATAGAAAATATGAAAAAGCATAACAAAAACAATCAGTTTAAACAGTTAACTCTATGCTCTGTACATTTAAAACAAGTCGTACTCAATCCCATGAGTAGGATTCAAGCTAGATGACATACTTAGTATTGCTATTTAAATTTATTCTGTATATCAAGTGAGAAGCATTGGGAATCTCAAAAACCTGACCTCTGATTCTTGAACCACCAGTGCTCGCTCTGGTTTCTCATTATCTGTAAGAGTTGGCACCCAGATTTCTTCTTTAATATCAAGCTGGTTCAAGATCTGTGATATTCTTATGTTCTTCTCTTTCACACGTGAAATTTCCAGCTCTTTCATTCGTGCGACTGAATCAAAGTCCTTATTGAAAGCACTCTTCACCTTATAGATAATATCCTGAAATATCAAGGATATCATGGAAATATTACAGCAAACAGTATGTAGTAATATTGTATGTGAAATAATTAAGTTTCTTAAGTGACCTCAAGTAGTTTAAAACTGCTTGCAATTCTGACCACTGGTCTCTAAAAATTCATTGCTTTTGCTTAGAACCATTGGTTGGAAAGATAAAATTATATAAGATTCAGTTTTAAAGTTGTGTTCATATCTAATAATAAGATGGGATAATTTTTAAGCCTGGTTCTTGCATAATAATCATAAAGGATGCTAAGCCAAACCCACTTAAGTTGGGTTTAACATTATGTGTGACCAGTTCTACAAACTGGTCAGCTATCAATAGATTATATTAGGTTAGAACAGATGACTATGTTCACTTTTTCAGCCATGGCTTCTTAAATAAGCCATAATGACTGGGTTCACAAAGTTATAGTTTTATACTGCTTGAAGTATAAATGATTAAACACCTCTGAAGATCACTTTTAGGTAGTCTGTGAATTGAGATAAGTCAGCACTGCTTCTCTGGTGATGTTGCTGTTTTGAAATAGCCTCCCCTTGGAGATCAGACTCACATCCTTCCTACAAACCTTTAGAAAGTTGTTAAAAAACGAACTACTCCACAGGCATTTTCTTGATTTAAAGCACTGCACCATCCTTAATACTTTATTTACTTTTATTTTCATTGTCATTTACCATGGACGTTTTAATTATTATATGGTGTATATCTTGTAAGCTACAAAGAGCTGGTTGCTCGCAATGGGGAATAACTTTACTAAACAAACAAACAAATAACTATAGGTGATAAATATGAGAGGAGAAATGTTGTCACATCATGCTGCCTATAAAGGAATAGGGTGAGATGGGAATACTGAATTACTGAAGCATGATTCTGTCTTTGTTTAGAACATATTCCCAATCCAAGATGCTGATCAGATCTTTAATAAAAGCTCAGAAAAACATTTACATTTTCCTATTTATACTTCCAAAAGTTTTTTGCAATTCAAAGCCTTGCACTTTTTCTAACAGAAATTGATTAATAGCAAATAAAGAAATCTTTAGGGAGAGTCTTTGAAGATACCATTCTCAATATAGCAGATTGCTAATTGCCAGTGACACTTTCTTTTAATGATACCTGACATGTGGAATGCTCCCTGTTCTGTGATATGCCAGATGTCATTTTAGACTTTTTGTTTATTTTTTAAGTTGATTTTTGCCTGTTTATAACTCTTCTTAATATTTATCTTTTATTTGATTATTGAAAACTTTTCAGATTTTTATATAAACATACATGATATATAAACAGTATAGTAAGCAAATTAATAATGACTTGCTTTTATTGCTTTCTGAAATAGAAGTAATATTCTATTCACAGAGTGCAAAGAATTTAAGAGCTGCATTGTAAAATAGGTCCATATGAGCCTCTTGTTAATAAATAAATATTAACTACTGTAGGTTCTCAAGGGTATTACAATAGTTTACAAATGCTTCTGGGTATTTTAGCTGTAATTCCTTAAATCCAGAGAATTTACTTTATAGATCCTGCCCCTACTGATGTTGCTCACTTCCTGCAGACAGTCATATTTTGAACGCATATTTCTGCAGAAGAGATGACATGTACCGTTGTACATGTGAAGCTTTCTCTCCCTGAAAACATGACATGGACATCCAAACATGGCATCATACAAATTCCAGACTTAAATATGATTTGTTTAAAACCAATTTAGAGCTACCTGGAGTTATTGCTCAGTTATTCTTGCTATAAGATACAGAATGCTTTACAAGAGCAGTTCTGCCTATGTATAGTGAAAGAAATAAACAGAATGACAAAGTTACCCGTAGCAATATAATTTGACTTATTTTCTCCTCTCTAGTATGCAGTTCCAGCTGGTTATATAAAAGAGATGTGTTCCCACCATACATTGCACTCAGACTCCCAATCAGTGCATCTATTTTTTCTTCTTCTTCTTCTGTCTTCTCCCCTTCCTCTTTAACGACTGAAGGTTGGGCATCAAATTCCACAATCTTCTTTCGAAGCTGGATAATATATATATATATATAATCATTACTAATACCATAAACTGTAGTAAGTTTTTTAGAAAACATTTCTCTCAAATAAAAGACGTATTCTAAGACCCAGAAGCCAAAACAACGCAATACTGTAAATTTAGTACATAGGCTAGCAGCAAACTCAGGCTGTCAGAGAGAACCAATAAGAGCAGCACCAGAGAAGGATATGGAATAAAAAAAACTTTATATGAAAGATTACTAACCTTCTTGTTCTTTAAATCTTATGGCATTTCAGTTATCAAATCTTATATCTGCCATTTTATGTAGTGTTAATTTAACATTCAGGGAAGCAGGGAAGCATGTTTTTTTCAGTGAGATTCTACATGTCCTAGAATCCATGCATACTATGTTTGTTTTTGGTTTATATAATATTTTACCATTATACTGTGGATTTTTATGCTTAATATATATATATTTCTCTTATATATTTATCTTTTGGGGGTATTTTCCATTATGTGAATAATGTACATGAATTACCTGACCAGTATTCAGTAGGCTCTAGATCAGGGGTAGGCAACTTTGGCTCTTTTATGATTTGTGGACTTCAATACCCAGAATTCCTGAACCAGCCATGCTGACTCAGGAATTCTGGGAGTTGAAGTCCAAAAGTCATAAAAGAGCCAAGGTTGCCTACCCCTGATCTAGATGAATAATCTGCCTAAACCATTCCAGCATGGGAATAGTTAAGAGAAAAACTGGAATGTTAGAATCATCAGACAATATAAACATGGCAATGAAAAATATTTTTCCATCTTTAGGAAAAAAGAAGATTCTACCTTCATATCTATTGATTCAATCTTCTTTAAATATAAAACTCTTTCCAACATTCGTTTTTCTTCTGGACTTCGTTCTTTCATTGGATAATTCTGAACTTCAGAAGAAGAATGGAAAGTCTTTGGAAAGAAAAAAAATGAAAGTATAATTCATGCTGTTTCCAAATACAATGTTTAATATAGTTTCAATTTACAAAAGCTTCATGTTGTACTATTAGAGGTGTACTATTGTACTATTAATTGTTTCTTTTCTTTTTAAAGCTATCTTCTACTAAACAGTAGGATGTTCTCCCATATGAATTAGTCTCAAGATGCTTTTCATGTTTGGGTAATAGATTTGGATACATTATAGGTTAACAATAACAATTGGGATTAAGAACTCCATCAGTTACAAGGTACATCATCATGTGATGTAATGACTTACAATAATGATTCCAGCAGTTCCATTGTGGTCATTAGGCAAATCTTGCATGGTCGTTAGGTGCAATGTCATAGGGGAACACCATTTGCTGGCTTTCCATTGACTTTGCTGTTTAGAAGCTGCCAGTGAAGATCACAAATGGTGATCATGATGGATGTTGCAACCATCATAATTGTAAGGCCATTGCTAAGCACTCAAATTATGATCACATGGCCATGGGAATGCTGCAAAGGCTGGAACTTTGAGGAACAGCAGTAAGTCTCCTTATTTAGCACCACCATAACTTTAAACAGTTGCCAAACCAAGGACTACCTGCAGTATTTTCCTAGATTTTAATTAATTTAAGCATTGATTGCCTTTTAGTTACAGCAGGGTAAAAGTGAGAAAGAAAAAAAAATTACCTTAATTGAACGTCCTTTAACCAACATAGTATCCCAACACTCTTTTTTGATCATCTCACGTAAATAGCAATTGGCTAGATTTTCCATCTCTATATCCTTCCTTACCTTTATCATAAAACAGAAAACAAATGAGGATCAAAAATCCATTGGGTTTATATATCACTCATGTTAACCCTGCACTCATGTAAATCATGTAATATATAATATTAATCAAAATCTTATGTATTACAAAAATCCTCGAAAACACCCATAGATTTAAACATTTGTCACTTGGATTATGTTGATAGAATAAATGTCAATTTGGAAACTGTAAATAAAGTAAAGAAAAGCTTTATTCATTAATGCCAGTGACATTTATATGTGTAAATCTTTAAGTGTCACTTCTATAATGAAGCAAAAATTGTACAATTGTGACTGATAAGGACAATTTTCCTTTCTTGGATTCTACAACTGTAGAAGAAAATACAAAAATAAAGGCAGAAATAAATAAACCAGTTCCTTAAGATAATCCCATTCCAACTTCTGATTTGTTTATTTATTTGAATGGTGAAGTTATTTGATCTTTATAAATCTAGTCCTAAGGAACAATATATACTGTATAATTCTGATCGACTTTCAGCATTCTAGAATTCTTCTCATTCTCTATACAAAGTTTTTTTTTTGTTCAGGACAAATAAAAGTAAATTGAATCCCAACAAGTTGACCATACCCTTTCTACTTCTGAAGCACTGTGTGTTTGCTGTTTCTCTTGTTCTTCTACATCCAGATTGAATTCTTGTTGATCCAGTTTCTCAATTTTAGGTGCAACTGAATTTTCAAACATCATTTCTTGAATCTATTTTTGTAATGATACAGAAATTAATAGTGAGGGAATTATGTATTTATAAAGAGATGGAGAATCTATGATTATCCTGATATACTATATGTTTGAAGTATAATCACAATATATAAGTTTTAATAATAATAATAAATCACTAGCTATGCTAAGTTTAATGTGAAGGAAATGCAAACCATTGGACATCATCAAGAAGAGACAAGGAGTTTGGCTAATATGTCTCCAAATATTTGAAAGACTGCATTTCCATATAGTTATCCCTGCCAGTACTACCTTGTACAGCAACCACGCAAAGCACATTGTATCTTTAAACACAAGCATAATACAGGTCCATTTCATATGAAAGTAATGAAAATTCTGAATCCATAAAAATATACGATAATCATTTGCACTGTGAATTAAATCTGGTGTAGTCATCGTCAAGAACAAGGGACTCTAGCATGAAGATTGCTAGTTTAGATTGACAGAACCAATCTAAACAATAAGCAGTTATTTCACACAACAGCAATTTGGCTTTATAAACTAATCATTTTCAGTAGCCTCAAAATAACTGTCTTGACTTAGTTTGCAGGACTGCAATAGTTCTTTTGCAAACTATTATCTAATTCCCAATAAGTTGGAAATTAAGTATACACCTGAAAATAAGCACCTGAGGCCTAAATCAGGATAAGAGACACGTTGTCTATGAGAGCTAGAGGGCCCACTGTCTCTCCAACCAATATTAAAACAGGTTCTGGCATTGTGGTACGAGATCATAGAAAAATCTCATGAAGTTTTGCAATTTTAAATATATCAAATGATTATTTTTCCTGAAAAAGGCTCCAAATCATATTTGTACTTTACATGGTGACTGAAAGGGCTGTTTTCTCTGCAAATTTCTACTAGGTGCAAGTTAACTTTTGTTATAGTTATTAGATATGGTTTGTGTGATGTTTTACTATCTTACATTAAGTATCAAATAAAAATGACAATGTTTAGTTAGAACACCTTTCTAACTCTTACATTTTTAAAGTTATATTATAAAATTGAAATGGGTGGTTTAGGCCACTGAGTCCAAAACACTGCTCAGTACAGGAATCCAAATTAAAGCACTTCCAACAGAATGAATTGAGTGATTAGTTGTTGCTAGTCTGCTCTCAACTGTCCTTCATATACAGCTGAAGTGGTATAGATGTTTCCCAACTAAAAATAAAGGATTTCAAGATGCATGGAAAAGATCCCTATTATCTTTTCAGATAAATAATTTGGCTATTTACATTCAACCTACATCTTTGTGGAATCCCATTACATGAATCCTAAGCAAGTTACTACCATTGATGATGTTACCTTGTTTGGCTACTGAAACGTCTGCAAGAAAACAAGCAAACTTAGAGAGCACCAAGGACCCCTCATAAGCAAGTTACGGCTATATGGCAAAGGAAAAACAAAGGATTTTAAGACTGTATAAAAGCCACAATCAAATAAGCTGTGTTATGAAAGTAAGCATGAAAAACATAGAAGTAATGTCCTCACACCACTACTGGAAGTAAACTGGTGATTTATCAATGCACACCTTTTTACGAAGCGCTTTAATTCCATGTTTTAGTTCTTTTCTCTTTTCAGCAAAACGGTCAGTTTCATCCTTGATTGCCTGAAATGTCACAAGAAACAGAGGAATGGAAACTGTGCAATTTTTGACATACAAAGCAAAACAAGGTAGATGAGCATTAAAATATGAAAACTATAGTTTGTAAAATTGAAAAAAAAAATCCAACCACTATCCCTTGCTAGCTCTTTTTCCCATATTAAGATTGAGTAGTATTGGTACAAAACCTGAAAAAATAGCAGATCCATTGATCTATAAAAGTTCAAGCATTAATTAAGCCTCCATATTTCATGTAGAATTCTGTGCTATTTCTAGTTTGGACTGCAAAAATTCTAAGGAACAACTGGAATATTTACTCAGACAAAGATTTAGTTTACACATCCAGTATCTCATCCAAAAAACCATGCATTCTTAGAGAAGGAATTAGCAATGAACTAGGATCCACTGTCTGCTTTCTTTTCCTACTCCTTCTAAAATGCCTATCTCAGTACATCTCAGTACACTCTGCTTTTTCTTAATTTTGACTTTTTCAATATACCATCACTAAAGTCAATCATGGCATCCTTTGGTAAATGAATGTATTGCTTATGTTGAATTGAGCATGTGTCCTAAGTTGCTCGGTTTTATTTATAGTCAGTTTCATAGGGCAATAAGATATCAACATAAGTCACAATAAACAAAGAGACAAACAACCATCTGTCCATTTACTATAATACTTCAGACTTTATTATAGTAGAAAAGTACCTTCTCTGCTTTCTGATCTAGCCATGAAGTCTCCTCAGATTTTGCTTCTGTAAGTAAATAGTATTCATCTTCATCGGTCACTTCAATGCTTGTTTTTCCATGTAACTTGAATGAAAAAGCTCATTTACAACATAGTTAAATAACAATGTATTGTACGCTTAGTTGACTAGATATAGAATCTGTATTTTAACTATATTTAGTATCAGTTTCTTAATTTTTGGTATATATTTAATTTCAGGGTGGGAAGTACAAATTAATCTAAGTGAATTACTTTACTGATCAATTATTACAGAATTAAGTATGCTATTGAATCTAGGGCTTGTCTGATTTTATACATCTTTTGCCATTCATTATGTTCTATTACTTCAAAAAGGATTGTGTACTATATCAAGCATTATATTTATCAAAAAGGCATTAAAACAGCACTTTTAAAGCCTGATGGTTCATACTTAGAATGTAAATGTGGGTGCATGCATGTATAGTTAAGTATTTTTCTCCCTTTCCTTTCCCACCTATTTTTGAAAATCCTAGATGCAGATACACACACTTTTGTTTATCTTCTTGGATCTGAGAAGGAAACAGGTGACAAGATTTGTAGATAGCCTGTGACCTTCTTTCTATACCTCCATTTTGCAGGGAAACAAAAGTCTGGATTTTCTGCAACTATTCAATAAACATGTTACAAAAATCCTGCTTCCTTTCCTATTTGGAGCTAAATAAAGTATGGAGATCATCCATTACAGGGCTTCTGAAGGAGTTGAAAATGGATTTACAAATGATAGGCTACAAAAATGACATGGAGAAAGATGAAGCCCTGGAAACCAGTTAATATCTTAAATAATTAAATATGATATATAGTACAAACAATAAACCAAGAGAATGACCTGGATAATTTTCTTATATTAGATTTACAAAAGAGGCTTATTAAAGTTTTGAAGAATCTTGTTAAATAGGACAAGAAGAAATGAAAAGGAACAAAGTGCTATGACAGTATTTGAATGGACTAAGGATTAAGATTGTTAGAAGAGGAAGGAATATAAAATTGGTTTAGTCAATGAAGGTTTTCTTTTCTATTTCTTTTTCTTTTCTGCACTTTCTACTCTTTATATTATTCTATTCTGGGTTTGTATTAGTTTTTACTGTCACAATTATAATCTTTAATAAATTACTATGAAAAAAGAGATCATTCATTACCACTCTTCTAACTTGCTGCAATTTGGCTGATATTTGTCATTGTAAGAGGGATGGAAAAAGGGGTCAAATGTTTATTAATCAGTTTTATTTTATTAGTTCAGAAATATAGACCTGAGTCATTAGTGATCTTCTAGTCACCAGTAATTTATGACCTAAATATAATAAACCAAACTTGATTGTTGAAAACTAATGCTATTGACAACACAAATGTCTCTTTCCCTTCCATAGCAACAGCTTCCTTCAATCTGAGTGCTCTCCAGGGTTTCAACCTCAAAATTCTCAACTGTAGCAATATTAGATGGAGAATTTGGGAAGTTAAAGTCTGCCTATATAGAGGATATTCAGTGCGAATAATGTTGTCCTAAGATATAGTTCTATGGTGCTTTATTTAATACTTACATAGAGTTACATACAGTATACATCTATCCTAATAAATATTTAGCAGTCTCACATTCCTACTCAGCTCAGTCTCTGTCACTCTGTCAAGAGTATTAAGAATTCCACAAATATATCACATCTCTTTTTCCATAAAGATCATCAGCTGTTTCCTCACATATTTCTAAAACTATAAATATTAACCACTTATCTACACATTTCCCTATATCTCTCATAGCAGAAATATTCATAGACAAGAGTTAAAATCACTGACTAAATTGTTCATGGCTGAACAACTGAACCTTCTTTAGTTTTTAATATCAATAGAAGAGAATTTTCGAAGTTCAGAGTTAAATTGTTGAGTTTTGGTGATCTCTGAACTCAGCTATTTTCTAGCAAATGATGATAATATTACCAGGCTAGTAACACTGCATTGATGATGTTACCTAGCCCAGGAATGGAACGTGTGCAAGAATATAACCAAGTTAAGAAACTACCATGGACCCATTTTTTTAACGTGTACTAGACATCTTGATTGTTTCTATTCTCTGTGAAGGAACACGAATCACAGATCTACATAGCTAGTTATATTACTAATGAAATGAAAAAGAAAAGTAAATTTGAAGCTCAAAGATTTTACAGCAAATAATTAATCTAATTCTATCTCCCATGTTTATCTCTATACTTGTTCTATTGCTTAGCTTAATATATTTAAATTGTGTAAGACCTGTGAAGAACTAGTCTCAAATGATATGCTATATGTGGGTTTTGATGTTATTGCCCATTCTGCCATAGTCTTCATAAATGAGTTTTCACTGAAAATATAGTTGTTAAATTTGATTAGAAGTTGTGTCCCGAAGTCAATTGCATCCTTCATTTTGCGTTCCCCAATCTTCCTAGAAGAATTAAAGAAAAAAAAAGTCAGAGAAGAAAATGTGGATAAGATTGTTAAGCAATCCTTAATACATGGGTCAAATATGATTTATAAAATAATAGTATGCATCCTGAAGAAGAAATTCAACTTCATGTTTTGTTTATGTGTCTTCACAAAGAAGAAACTTGTTTTTTTTTAAAAAACCATTTATTAGTGAAAGACAAGAATACACCAGATTCCCCAGTTTGGCAAATTTTCCAATAGATTTAGTGCAGATTTTATTGTAATGTTTAATGCTTGCAGACTTCAACAAGCACTGAATGTACCTTTATTGTTATAACTACTGAACATACTTTCATTGTCATAAAATTTAAACTTCCTTCCTTGCCTGAAGAATAGCTAATTTCATCCTGTATCTCAGGGGTGTTAAACTGCCAGCCCACGGGCCAGACGTGTCATCCGGAAGCTGCACCCACCCTATTGCTGGCAATGGCAAAACTGTCCTAATACGTTGCGTGATGTCATGTGATGTTGTGAGTTTGACATGTCTGCTGTATCTATATACCTTCAGTAGAAATTCAGGCAACCTAGAATGTCTTATTCTCAGGGCAAGATGACTTCCCTTGAATATAAATATACCACTTTTCTGGTTTATTGACAAATCATTTCCATAAAATTTGGTCAGTAATTGTAGAATTGCAGCCCCACTTTACAGAGCAGATGCAAAACAGGAGTAGTGAAAGTCATTTTTTCTGAAATGTTTTAGTATACTATACTAAGTATATTGCTTTTTCCTTCCTTTTCATCCATGTAGTAATATTAATATCTAGAGAAACAGACACATCACAGCCAAATTGTTTTGGGATCTTCTGACAGCATCCCACATTGATGTATTTTGAATAAATGCATACTTATTTCTACAGAAAGTGAGATAGTATTTGGTTTAAATAAAATTAAAACATCTCTGAAATGGGTTGAGGCTAAATAATTCTATCAATTGGTCTAATGCAAATCAAAATATATAAAGGCAAATAGCCATGTTTTTAAAAGCAGCAGTTTGCTGAAAATTTGAATATTTTACATCTTTTATTCTTCAAAATGTACATACTTCCATTTTAGACAAACAAGAGCTCCATCTTGAGTTCCGGTGACAAGTATATTTTGGCTATCCAATGAGAATGCCAATGACTTAATTCCTCGTCCATTATATGAATGGCAGTATTCAGAAGTCAGAACATCCTTAAAGAAAGAGATTAGGAAAACAAATTATTGATTTATCTGCTGGCTAAGGAATTTATTGTGAAGAAAGACTGGAAAGAAGTATTGAAAACTTTTGCAGCTTGCATATAGTTTAACTAAAAATGTTTTGGTAGCATTGGCCCAATTTTAGGTATTGGCAAATGTTGTAAATGTGAAGTATATATCTCAAATATGTACTTTATATTTATTTACTAATTCTAATAAATAAATATCAAATATGGTCAGATTTAAAAAAAAGGAAATCCCATGGTTTATAGATAACGATCACTATTGAAAGATACAGATAAATTAGTGATTGATGGAACTTTGAACTGTATAAAACTCTTAAACTTTTGATCCTATCCTATAATGAGGAAAGATAGCCTTCCTTCTTTCCTTCCCCAGTGCAATTAAAAAACTTTGAAATGATTCTAAAACCCCAAAAATTAAAACTGCAGATTAAATAACTGATAATATCATACACTAAAGCCCTGCATAAAATATACAAAATAAGCAATGAAAATAACAGTCAAAAAATTAAAAATACTGCAACAGCATCAATACATTAAGAGGCATTTGAGAATAAAAATGTCTTTGCTTGGTAGTGAAAAGGCAGGACATTCAAATTTGGGGAGCTCTCAAGCATCCATTTGCTGCACTTCAGTACAAGAGGGCAGGCAGTTCAGGTCCTCCAAAGATGGCCTTAGGATATGGTCAGAAACAAATGGGAAGGGCACTTGTTCATTCCTTCTGCTAACTTCCAATTTCTGTAGTAGTTCAGTTGCATGTTGCAGTCACAGCAGAACAAATAAAACCAGTGTGCGTTTACTTAATACTGTATGTAAATATTTACCTTAAGCACCAAAGAAATTCATTTGATGACTCAGAGGAACATAGATTAAATCAAAACGAAATTCTGACAATTACCAGAGTTGAAGCATTATGGATAATTAATAGCCCACTGTCGGCAGCTGAAGCTAGCCATTTGTCATGAGGTGACAAACACAGGAATGCTTGTCCAAACTGTTTGCTTGGTATCTTCTTCTCTGACAATATTGGTTGGTCTTTTGATGTCACCTGTAAAGCAAAACAGCAATGCCACATAGCTGATGTGGTCACAGGAATATTGAAGGCAGCTCCTGTCAAATTAACAAAACTAATACAGATAGTCCTCGACTTACAACAGTTCGTTTAGTGACCATTCAAAGTTACAATGGCATTGAAAAAAGTGACTTATGACCATTTTTCACATCTGTGACTGTTGTAGCATGCCCACAGTCACGTGATCAAACTTTGGATGTTGTCAACTGACTCAAATTTATAACAGTTGCAGTGACCAGGGTCATGTGATCCCCTTTTGTGACCATCTGATAAGCAAAGTTAATAGAGAAACTGGATTCACTTAACAACTGTGTTGCTAATTTAACAACTGCAGTGATTCACTTAACAAATGTGGAAAGAAAAGTCATAAAATGAGCAAAACTCACTTAACAAATTTCTCACTTAACAACATAAATTTTGGGCTCAGTTGTGGTCATAATTTGAGAAATACCTGTGCAATATAACCAAACACACAATGGATTGACTCCAGTAAGTACCAGGTTATAACATTATGTAGAGTGCTGTTAGCTGCTCTGTTGATGCATTAATAATGTCCATTGATATAATGCTCCCATTCCTGATACTAATTCAACTCTTGTATTTACCCCATTTGACACTTCTTTCACTTTTTATTATCTACCTATTGACCCTTCTATTTCATATACAGTTCAGAGCTACATAAAGCAGTGGCAGTAATCCTGGACTTGTTTGATTTGTCTGATTTCCTTGCTGCACTCTTCAGCTGCACAGTTCCTTGCTGCACTCTTCAGCTGCACAAAACTAACATTCCCAGGATATCAACATTTTTCTAAAGGACAAAGTTGAAAAAATGGAACTAAAAGATAATCTATATACGAGCATTTTAAGATCCAAAAATCCGATCTGGAGCAAAATAAGAGTTTTAATACAGTGTATTGAATAAATTTAATTCTTTTCAGAAAATAAACAGCCCAAGGGCCAAATTAGATGACATATTAAGGGTGTTATCATTTTTAATCTTTTTGGACTTTTATATTCAATCAAAGCAGCTTCACTTATACATAGGCATGCCTGGGATCAAGTGATGTCAAATTAATTGCTCCTTCAAAACCACTTTCCTTTAAATATGTTATTTTACATCCTAACAGGAAGCACCTATTGTGGGTACATAGTGGGGAAATAATTTTTATTGGGAAATTGAAGCAGGAGATAGATTTAAACTTTCTCCCATTTGTTCTATAATTCTATGAAGATCCAGAAGTGCAATTTCTAAGAAACATTTTTAAAGGAATTGCATATGTTTGCATACATTTACATCTTGTTTAATTTGACCCATAATTAAAGTTTACTCGTGCAAGTAGGACGTACTTTTGCAGTAAGATGATATTTACAGATGTAGGAAGCCTGGCTAGCATAGGCAATTACTGTTTCATCCTTCCGCTTGACCAGAGAAAGTAGTGGGAACTCTAATTCGTACATATGTTTCTGAATGATACTGTCTTTCAAAAGCCCTCTTTCTGTGATACAGATTTCATTGTCTGCAGATTTAAAAAAAAAAAAGAGAAATATTTTTGTGTTAATATTTTCTCTCTTAGAGAATATTAATTAAGAAAAAAATTACCAGATGTAATTGGCCTTACGACTGCAATAGTATGAAAAAAATTCCACAAGTATATATTGAGAGTCTCAAAATCAAGATTTCATAAGACTCAATCATTAGTTTGGGGGAGGGCACAATACTTAAACCATTTCATACATAGATATACATAAAGATTATTCCAATATGCCATTAAATGCACATTTATTAATTTAAAAACATCTGGCAAACAAAGTGACTTGCAAATCACAGCTGCAAAACAGAGCTATTTCACCTTGGAATGAAGTTGATAGTGTTTTTATTACCAGAATATTAATAGTTGATCAAATATTATTATTGGGCTGATACACATTTCAAAGCATTACCTAGGGTGCTAATCTAGTAAGACAGCCAGTTTGATATAGTGGTTAAGACATCAAGATAGAAACTGAGAGATCATGAGTTCTGTTCCTGTGTTAGGCATGAAGCTAGCTGGGTGATTTTGTGCCAGTCACTCTCTCTCAGCCCTAGGAAGCAGGTAATGGCAAACCACTTCTGAAAATCTTGCCAAGAAAATTGCAGGCACTTTTACCAGGAATCGATACTAATTTGAAGGCTAAAATCAATCAGTTGCTCTAGGAAATTTGCCCCACTAAGCTGTCAAAATCCTGCTTCTCTTTTCTTCTTTGCTGAGCAGAGCAACAGTCTTGTTCTTGTTTACTTTCCCTTCTGATCTTACTCCTTGCCTGGGAAATTCCTTGTTTGTTCCTTTACTTGCTTGCTTACATGCATAGAGTCATTCTACTCCTTGCCTGGCAGGGAGAATTTTGCAGTGGGGAGTCAGACCTAGCCCTCCTCCTTGGCTGCTTTTCCTTCCCTTCCTTCAACTCTGTGGCTTATTGGCCTGTCTTCAAAAAGTAGTTTTGAACCTCTGAAAATATTTTGTATACGATATCTTGTTTGTTTGTTTATATTTCATATTTCTAAACCACCATCTCCCTCAAAGAGGGGCTCTAGGTGGTATACAATAGAACAATAAAATAGAACAATAAAACATATACAAATTAAAATTAAGTTAGCATTTTAAAAAAATATAGAACAATGACATTATAAGCATATGTTAAGGACATAAGGATCTACTCACACTTTGAAGTTAGCATATATTATTTTAAAATGGTGACTGCATTTTGAAATAACAGAACTCATCACTAGATTGGTTCTTACCTGAAATAATATTTAGAGGAAGTGTAAATATCTCCACTCTTGCCCTTTTGAGCACCGTTGGAGAAAGAAGTGCAATCACTTCGATTAACTCATTTTCCTCATTATACTGTGAAGTTATGTCCACAATCTCACCAGACAACACTACAGTGAAAAGAAGACAATATTCAAACCAGATGTAACATCAAAGTAAATTATCACTTTTTTTTTTGGCCTACAATAGTTTAGAAGTCCCTGAAAAGCCAAACTGGATATTTATATCCTGTCTTATTTTATCACAGAGCACTAAATGGTGAATAAGGGACTTATGCAGTGTCCTATCTAGCCAATGAATAGGCCCAAAACTTGTTGATCTCCAAGAAAAATAATACACATAATATACCTAACACCTGGGCCACCAATCTAGTTTATAGCTCTTGAATACTGTCAGTATGGCTTCGCCCTTTGACTTTTCAACATCCCATCATGATGGCAAGATAATATGGGAAAAGTCATCCCAGCCTGTATTACCCACAAAGACTACCCTCCCACCAGCTTTTGGGATAGGTTGCCAGGATAGTAATTGTAATATGAAATGCATTACAGATATTTTGTAATCTTGAATCACTGCATCCACTTTTACTAAGCATTATATCAATTTTTGAAATTGTTTATATAAATATACAGGTAGGGAATGCATTAGGTAATGATAATTTCCAATTACAGTGCTAATGAAAAAGTAACTTTGTGACCCATGCCCACATTTATGACCTCCATGGAGTCATGTTAGTTTGCATTGTCCTGTGTCTGACCCATTTTTTTCTTGGTCCCCTCTGCCTGAGCTGTTTTTTCCCACAGGGCAGCAGGTCTCTAAAAATGCTGATTACAGATTAACAGATTCAACTATGTGATCTAACTATCACCTGAAATTGACAGTAGTCAGTTTCACACTAAAGACTTTTTCTTTGCCTCCTAAACAACCTGCTAACCAAACAGCTGGTATTAGCAGATTCCTTTCAATGTGTATTTCCCATTGTATATCTGCTTACTCTCTTGTAATCCTTTCCTCTCAATGAATGTAAATACAAATACTAATTCTCTTCCTGCTATAGTGATAAAAAATGATCAAATTATAAGCTTGTTCTTTAAAATGTTTCTCATTTATAACAATCTACTTTCTTGCTTACAGTGGATATTCTTTGTTGTACCTATTCATGCTATTGCACCTATTCATACTATAATACAGACATTTCTCCATATGTTTTAAAAAAGCAAATGTTCAGGATTTTATCAAAAACCTACAGACTCAATCATGCAGGGTGTCAAACTGCTGGCCCATGGGCCGGACACATCATCCAGAAGCCACACCCACCCCATTGCCGGCAATGGCAAAACCGTCCCGATATGTTGCGCGACGTCACATGACGTCGCGAGTTTGACATGTCTGCTAGAGTATTTTAAACAGAAATATTATGAAGGTCACGTAATATTCTCATTGATTTAAGAAAATTGATCATTCTGAAATAAAATATTTGGATTTTGACAGCTAACATTTATTCTATGAAAAATTACTGTCCACACCTAACATACAGAAGAAATAACACATCCATACATTTTTGTATATTACCTACGTATCCCAGTACTTTAAACACTGTTGATGGGAGAGCATTTAAAATAAAAACACTTCCATCTGTAGAAGCTGCTATGAGAAATTGACCAGTTTGTTCATACCTTAGGGGGGGGGGGGAAAGAGCAAATAAGATGATGGCAATTGATTAGCAACCATGATTATGGCATACCAGTTGTTTGAAAGAAATTACAATATATATATATATGCTAAAAATTGTGATTCTAATTGATCTGATAGATAAGAGATTGGGAAAAACTGAACAACACATATCCCTGAATTTTTTTTAATAAAGCAAGCATAGCACTTGCTACTTCTTAATGTAATATCAAACAATATAGACCAACTGCATGGTGTGCATTTTTTTAATTGAAAAAAGATTACTATTCCATTTTTCTCCTCAATATAATTGATAACATGGACTGTGATTCATGAAAGCTTATGCAATAATGCATTGGTTAGTCTGGAAATAACAAAAAAATACTTCATTGTTTTTGCTGCTACTGCTGCAGAAATAATTTCAACTATAATACTCGCTATACAATAGGTACTTACCTATAGCAACCAAATTCTTAATGACCAGTCTAAATTATGACAGGCCCAAAAAAGGGTCTGTCAAAAGATTTGACATTCTGATGACCGTCCCCCACATAGTCATGTGATCACATTTTGGGTGATCAGCATGCAGCCCAAATTTACAGCTGTTTAGTGCGTCTCATAGTCACATATTACAATTTATGATGTTTTTGGCAGAAAATGGCATTTATCTCTGGTAAATGCCCACTGAGGACAATCGGTTTGCTTAACACTGGCAGTTTTTCCTTAACCAGAGAGTTGCTTAAAGATCAGGGTGATTTCTTTAACAACCACCGCAAAAAGGGTCATAAAATTGGGTCAGTCACATGATGACCTGCTTAATGACTTAAAACCGTAATTCCATACTCAATAAGTCAAGGACTACCTGTTAATTCCTTTCTTTTACCATGAGCAAAACCTGTATCTATCAACCAAACTCTAAGACAGAGAGTGTAAAACATATTAGATCAGTAAGAGCAGCACTGCAAGCTGGGAAAATGCTAAAACTAATCTCAGACCAAAAGATTGAATTTAAATTGAAATCAGCCAGAGTCTCTTGAACTGGACCCTCAGAAGAAACACTCTGTGAACGTATTCCTGAAAAGAAAAGTAAGGGTCTCTTTTTCCTGCTCAGTCTTTGCTTTGCCTTTTTATCTTTTTTTCTGAATGTGGAGAGCAACATAGCAGACTGAGAATGACAATTGAAAATTTAGCTTTGCTTCTGTATTGGGGATGAAAGCGCTAGGATGTAAGTGGAAATAGAATTATAACGGGCTGAAGGCAGAAAATGAACAGATAGGATAGGGAATATTAAAAAATAGAGCTGACAAGGCACCAGGAAGTAAAAAAAAAAGAATAAGTAAAGGTATTGATCAGATTAGAAATAAGAAAAGGAAGAAAAAAAGATAAATACAGGTAGTTTTTCTCAATGGCAGTCAAAGTTACAACAAGGTTGAATGAGTGGTACTTATGACAGGTCTTCAAAGTTCCAGCCATCAGAACCATTCTGTGGTCATATGATTGTGATTTGGGTACCTGGCAACTTTTGATGGTTGCAGCATTCTATGGTCATGTGATTGCCACTTGAACCTTCCCTTCTGGATTCGCACAAGCAAAGCCAATGAGGAAGCCAACAGGCAAGATTGCAAATCATTACATTAATTTGCTCCTATTTTTTGTCCCAAGGAACCCTGCTATGGAGTATGAGATCTCAGTGATTGAGATCCCTATGCCCACCTGTACTCCATAGCACATGCCTGCCTGCAGCACCCTGATTCACATGTGGTTCCTGCCAACCCAGCTATCACCCCACCAGCCTGTCTGGGCTCCATACAACTATCCAGGCACCCGTATAGCTGTCATTGGCCTGCTTGCACTCTTTAGCACCTACTTGCGATATCCGTTAACCTATATCCCCTATGATCCATCACCTCTATGCACTCCCAGTCACCCCCAGTCTCTTCCTGCTTAATGACCCTCACAATCCTGGGACAGTTACAACAGCAACCAAGACTGTTAGGATTCCCATCAGTAAGGAATGTGGTTGTGTGACATTGTACTTTATGATTGCTTCCCTTAGCAGTAGTAATCCTAATCCCAATTTAAGGAATATCTATAGCATCTGAAAAAGAGAATGAAGGAGAACCAAAAGAACCATAAGAACATCAGGAAAGGGGTAAATCAGAAAGTGAGAGTGGAATTAGAATGAATAAGGCCAAATGAATCAGAGGAAGAAAATTGATGGGGCGAATAAATAAGGGAGAGGGGAGCCTATATGGTTTCCCCCCACTCATCTTTATAAATGGAGTTCTGTGCATCAATATACATTCTTTTCTCTATCTCAGTAACCATCTGGATGAGAGACAGATTAAAAGGGGGATATCAGGGGGTGATGAAGTTTGTATTCTGTAGTTGACTGTTCTCTGGAACCCCACCTCAGCTTTGTAATCACATCCTTAGGTAAATTATCTATTTCTGAACTTTCAATCATTTCTTTCTTGTACAATGGGTGAGTGATAACTGGCCATATTCATCACTGCGGCCATTTTGTAAATAGATGTGATCTATATTGCAACAGTAAAATTTTATCATGATGCAACACAACACACATTCAAAAGTTTAAAGGTACCATATTCCTGAAAATGTTGAGAATCTTGCATTTAGTCTGTATCAGACACCCTTCTTTGCTGTGCCCATTTAACATACTTACAGCAAAAACTGCACAGGCATGTTCTCAGAAAGGAGAATTCGGTGAATTACTCTAGGAGTTTCAACATTAGTAAGATCTATAAAAAAGACACGGCCTTTTGGAGTTCCTACTGCAGCACTGTGAGAGGAGAGGCTACAAGCCATCGCAGTAACCTTGGAAATGAAAAAATGATAATTAATTTTTTCATGTGGATCCTTAGGAAAAAGGTATTTTATTTTCTCTTTCATGAATTTTTATTAGACCAATCTCAGTTTAAAGAAGGAGTGGGCAATTAATTTTCCCAAGGGACTACATGAGAAACTGGGACTGTTGTGGAAGGTTGATGGTGCAAAAAAGCATTTCATACAAAATAATAATCTGTATATAGTTTACATTCTCAGCACATATAATTCAAACAATTTGCTATTTATTAATGTGAACAATTAAACAACTGAAACAATGTAATTGTTTTTGTAGGAATAAGACATTATTTTAAAAAAATATTTCAGAAATTAAAAAAAAGAAAATATTTATGGTATTTTAATACTGGTATATATTTGCTTTAGCTTTCCATTTGGTTAATTGTATTGATGGCAGTATTAATATAGTCAGATTCAATACATTAAAACTCAAATTTCATTTGTACATACCACTGTATGTAAACACAGTGTGCTGATAAAAGCGCCATTATCCAGCTCCCAAACTTGTATCTCTCCTGATTTTGCTACAGACTATAGTAAGGAGGAATAAAAATGTGGGAACATTAGGAAACAAAAATATGTTTCTATTATTTATGTATACATTTTATTAATTTATTTTGAAAAGATTTCCTAATCCTTTCTCATTATATTTATTTATTTATTTTATTTTGTAAAATTGATTGGCCATTCATCTTACCATAGGGTAACTTTGGGCTTTTTACAATAAATAATAAACGCAAGCACACTCACCACACCTAATTCATTTGTGTCAAATCAAAGCAATGCACCAAAATAATTAAAGAAAGGATAAACTTAGAACAGATATACGTCTTAACTACAATATACAGTACAGAAGCAGATTATTTTATACCACAGAATTTAATATTAAGTCGGTGAGTGCCTTGGCACATGTGTTGTGCAATTTGTGTGTTTTACTTACATTGTACAAAACTATTTGACTAGTATCCATAATAAGTCTACTTTATGTTATCTGCCTCACAGTACTCCCATTGAGTAAAATCAACCACGTTCACCTCAACTACTGCATCATGCTGATATCTATCCTTCACCCATTTTCTCCTCTGGTAAGTAGGGCCAAACTTTTCAGCCACTTATCAAAGTCTTAAGGGCCAAAAAGAGCAAAAGGGGATTGCTTGGATGTTTTTTTTTATAAACATATTTTTTCTGATTTTCATTTCTCATTTTTTTACTTTTCTTAATCACTAATTAAATCTCATCTTTTGAATTCTCACTTTAACCCTCACTTCAGTATAAAACTCAAGCAATAGCAAAATTATTAATTAAAGGAAACTGGGTTTTTTTACTTAATAAATATAAAATGACTGAAAAAGGCTTAAGGGGCAAAAACCATTTAATTTCTCATAAGCATTCCTTCAGAAGCGTCATATTGCCCTTTCCTACTTTGTAGTGTGTTTCCTCAAATACTGCATGCACTTGAACAAGTTTCTGAATTTTTGTATGTTTGTTTTCCTTCCTTTGGGTAAGATTTTTCTAAAGAATTTTTTTCTTTTATCTTGATACTAGCTGATGGTTGTATAAGTCTGGAGTTCCTTTGCTATTCTATTTTAATATACAATATTATAGATATTATTTTCCTTCTGCAACAGCTGAACTGAACAAGACTAGCTTGCATCTGTTCATAATCCATGTGCGCTGAAGAAACAAGCCACTGATCTGTTTGCTAACCACCACTTGCCTTATTTAAATGAGCAGATTAGAATGTTTACGAAAATGAGCAGAATAAGCAACTAATACAGACATATTGTTTCAAGCCTCATTTAGAAACTGCCATGGTGGGAGTATTCATCAAATGATATTGCAACATGACACTAAAAAATCTGATTTTTTTTCCTTTTCTGTCATTTAATACAACGAAATTTTCTTACCAAGCAGTGTTTGTTGCCTGGAACAATAAAATCAGCTGCTAAGAACTGGCTCATACTTGCATCCAGTAATGCAATAACATCTTCATTTGAATTTGGATTAAAGATGTAAAGTGATCCCTATTAATTAGAAATAATCCATGATGGAAAGATCAGAGAAAGCATTCAGTACATATTCTTAATTATTTTAGGAAAATATACATATCTAATTTTGCCAGTTTTGGTTGAACTCAGGGTGAGGCATATATCATATTAATTTTCTTACGTATGCCTGTCTGAAAACTGTCGCTACTACATTTTTGCAACACCTTTCTGCAAAACTATGAAATACTAAGTTCTTGAGAATGTCTTTAGAAACCTTCTCTGAATGTCTAATTATGTGAGAAATGGTTATTATTAGTGGAAGCAATTGCTTCAATACCATCTCTTTCATTGAATGTCATCATCTCAACCCAATTTTGTTTACATTTTTTAAGGTAATTTTAATGTTTTGCATTAAAATCCAATAGAATGAAAAATATTCTATTGCTTAAAACACTTCCAAAATGGATCCAAAATGATCAAAATAAGTGTTATGAGACAAACCTAATCTGATTTTTTTTAGCATCATGCAAATGTGAATCATCTCACTTCAGCGGCCAGGAAAATCTACATGTACCTTTATATATCTGTTGTATGTTAAAAATAATCTGGAGATATTCATATAACAGAATAGTCTAAAAATATTGAAAAGTACAGATCCATCCATCCAACCAGTCCAATCCTGACTGGATGTCAGAAGTAGAATGCCCAAGCAGTTGTTTTACTGGGAAATTTGCAAGGGGTTTCAACTTTTTAAGCATTAATATTGTCTCACATAGAATGACTTCTTGTGAAATGTTTAATCTGAAACAAACAAAAGCCCTTTCACTACAAGATAACAGCATAAGAAAATAAATGGTACAACAACGACGTTAAGAGTAAAATAATTCAATTAGAATTGTTACTCTTACAGTCCTTAATTTTATTAGAACTTCATCCCACTAGTAACAAATCAGCCTGATCTTAGGCTATTTGCTTCTGATCTGGACAGATCAATCCCTCATTTGACAGCAAACTCTTGCATTCACTGAAAGAATACAAGTGATTGCTTGCATTCTTTATTGTATTCACATTAAATTATGTTATGTTTGATTTTGATATATGAAAAAATTATAATACATATTTAACTAGGAATCTCATATAACAAGATGTTTGCCTGGCACAAACTACCTTTTCTGTTTCTACTAGTAGGTAAATGTAATCAGGAGAGAAGAAAAGAGTTGTTATTGGCTCTTCAATTTCGAAGCAATCTTCTGCTTGAAAGCTTGTGCCCTTGATTTTGTAAAGGCGAACAAAACCATCCTAGGGGAAAAACGCATACATACATCATAAACAGCACAATTCCTACCAACTTTCCCAACCACCCCTCCCCACCAAAACCTAATTACAGCATTGTGTTATTTGGAAATTATTTTATATGAATATCAGAGAATATTTGAAAGCAAACTATACTGACACTGGAAATCCTTAACTGGATCTGTCAACTCTCTTTTACTTTCTAAAGTGTATGGATGAAAAGGAATGTGTGGAATTAGGTTATAACTGTGGGAAATGTTATGAGATTTAAAGTCTTTCTTCATTTTCTTGATTTAAATTATTTCTCCCAACACCCAAGATTAGAAATTGCATATAGGTGAACATAAATTTAGGGGTAATTTATACAGGAAACATCTCTTAAAGTAGTAATTGTCATTTGCTTTGCACAACAATTATAAATTCGATTACAATTTATTCCTCATCCTATACCTATTTTGTAAAAAACAAAATTCATTAGATATTCAAATATATGCAGTATATATTTAGATATTAAGTACAGAAAACTAGCTTCTTTGCATTAATAAGCCTCTATGCTACATTTTGTGGAAACAGTCACATTACTTCATTTTCATTTGTCTCTCATTTTAACATCTAGAAACTGGATATAAACCTTGTTGTAAAAATAACCCCTTTCCCTATTTTAGTGCTTATTTTTAAATTATTATTACAACACAATTTACCTCACATTCATTCATGGAACTTTCATGTGGTTACCTTTTACACAGAACTTCATTTTCTTTATATAAGGTTGCTCTGTTTTTATGTGACTACAGTATAAAATTCAGTATCCTGATAATTTCTTTTTTCATTATAAGCTTTTAGCTAGTTCCTAGCTCCTAAAAATTAATGAAGCCTGAGTTAACTAGTTGATGTGCAGAAAGCACTTGTTGCACTGTGTGAATAATACCTGTAACCTAGTGTAAAATGGTGATCAAGTAAGTCTCGAGCTTCAGTCATGGGTTCAGTAGTAATTCTTCTTCTGACACTTCTCTCAATTACCTGGTTTGACCTGCCAGAAATGTCTCAAATATGGTTTGACTAAATTAGAATCTTCAGTACAGACAAGGAGAAAAAATATATACATAACATTGATTGATGGCATAAGTTCAAAGACTTTTGAGAAGTGAGGTTATTTTTCCTCCTGTCTTTCCAAATTAATAGATACTTGGTGCAGCACTTGGTAACTTGAAACTGGACAACAGATTGATTATTTCAAGTCTGGGAAAAGCTAGTTTCTGCCTTTCCAACTTCTATCCTTTGGCAACTGAAATATAAATCTGGTTCCTTCAATAGGATCCCCTCTAAGAACTTAACAAGCCAATCATTTTTAGTCTCAGTCTCTTATTGGTGATAATAACTATTTTGCAGACATGTTATAATATAAATAATACATGTGAAGAAATGTGTACCCTAAAACATTTATAAATTATTTAAGTACTATTACTATTATAGCAGAAGCTAGGTAAATATTGGAATAATAATAGATCTTCTGGACATCTCTGCATATTTATTGTTCCTAAAACTTGTAGAAGAGGGTGACAGATAAATATGTACTGAAAATGTATATTTAATCAATTTGCATGTTTAGATAATCCGCAGAATTCATCGGTTACTAACTCAACATTTGTATTCTCAAAAATATTTTTAAAGCAAAGTTGTCATTATTGACTCTTCATTTACAGCTATTTGTTGGCTTGTTCCTAAACATTGCTTGTATCACATCACATACTGAAAGGCCACGAAAATATATAATAAGATTTTGTGGTACAAAGAATATAATCCTGAAAGTATAAATATGATCATCTGGTATCTTCAGCAGTACCTAATTAGCAATTAGAGGAAAAATAGTTCTTAATTTTTACAACATTGTTGTTTCTCTTTATTGACTCCTTTATTTCTAGAGTTATGGGATGGGTTATGAAAAACATTTCATTCTGTTAATATTAGCAGTGAAACGTTATAGGACTCAACAGAACAGGGACTTACTGTTCCAGCTGCATACAGTCCATCCTTATGAAGTGCCATAGCAAGTAGGATCACATTTTGAGATTCCTTCCTTGGCTCATCTATAGAAAGTATTAATAAAACATGAGCTTTTTAAATATACACATTGAGTATGTATGTATGTATGTATGCATGTATGCATATATATGTGTGTGTGTGTATATATACACACACATGCAAATGTTTTCAGTAAAGTCATTTAGTATTAAAAAATAAATACCTTCCATTTTCCTAGAACTGTGTGACAGTGATCGAAAAGTTGTCCGTTTTTGCGCTGGAAAGGAAGTGAGTAAAAAAAACCTAATAACTAACTATCAATTGCAGCTTATATAGCTCTTATGCAAGTACATTAGAACCAGTTGCCATTAAAACAGGAAAAATACACTATCATTATTTATATTAATAAAGTGAATTAATGCATATAGTATAAATCTAAATTAGAGCTCTATAGAATGATCCTGCTCATAGATGAGGTTTGTCTACCATTCCTGAGAACTGGTCTGATTATAACTTGGTATTGAGTCTTTCCAGTTATATATTTCCTGCAGCATTGATGGGTCTAACATCTTTATTACTTTTTTTAAAAAAAGTCATAACATATGTCTTTCGGAAGTGGCTTTTACTTGTTGCTTTGATGGTCTATTTATATATTTTACTCTCTTTCTCCCCCCCCCCCATGCAAAGTGATCCCTGTAGTTTTTCTGAAGCCTGTATTTCTAATTATAGAAATAGTAACATTTAAAATTAACTCTCCTTAAGAGGTTGTCCTTGGATTTAGATGTTTCTGATAAATTTAGTAATAATAATGCAACATAATTAATCTAAAGGTTATATAGCACAGTAAATTCTTTGGAAATTTAATAATATTTACTATGAACATTTTAAGTTTTCATATTTCAAAGCTACTGATAAATTCAGTTTTTCCTCATTAAGAAACCTAATGCATTTTTTGTGGCAGTGAAGTAGTACTACTACAATATTGAATTGGCAACATGAATCAGTTGCATTTCAAAGGATGCAGTTTAACTACTCCTTCCAGTGAAACAGACAACTTCAATACACCAGAAAGGGAATGGTAGGAAATTAATCTTTCTAATGTTTTTGAAAAGTCATTTCTTTTTAAAAAAATATTCAGCAAATCAGTTATGATTGTGACATGTGTTTTTGGGTAGAATTTTCATTTTTTACAACTCTAGTTTTTTAGTGCATGGCACAATTTCATTAGGATTAACTGTTCCCCAAAAAATAATTATTGGAGGACTATAGAGAGTAATAGCATCCTCCCCTCTTTTGCCTGAATCCCAATGAATCAGAAAAAAAGATATTTCTCACCAATAGCATCTGGAGAAAGTTTTTGAGTGAGAAGAACAGCCCTGTATGTGTCTGCACCTATTTTCAGGAAATATCCTTCTTCACAGCCCAGATACAGCTCAGAATCTGGAGTCCAGCAATGGACAGTAGGGTGGACGTAAGGTTGAATATCATCTTTAGGCTATCATTACAAAGGAAGAAGTTTCAATTACAAAATAATTAAAAATATACAAAGCACAAACTATATACCGGTACATACATAATTTTACTATTTAATTGTATTCAAATATTTATAATATGGCATATATAATACACATGTTTTTATCAGAAGGATTATTCATCCTTCATATAAATTACTATACACACTCTAGATAGTATACTCTTACATACCCTTAAGTTAGGCTTAATGGCCTAGAATTGCAGACCTGAAGGGAAGCCATTTTTTTTATTCCAGAAATTCCCTATTGAGAGCTTTAATTAACATCTGGCATTTGAAAGAGAAACAGCAGCTGAATGTGCAACCAGTATCTTATTCACTATTCCCAACGCTTGTGAGGCAAAGTTTTTAACAAAGCTGACTAACAATTATTATGCAAAAATGATGATACTTCATTGGAAGCTTAATGAATGGTTGCCCTATGTTAGTTCCCATTAATCTCCATTGCTAATCTTGTGCTTTGAGATGTATAGGATGGAGTTTATGAGGATAATACAAAGAAGCACTGCAGGGCTCATTGTTAGCATCCCCTCAAGCCTGTTAACAAACTTTACATTCTATTTATTTTTTTAAAAAATATTGTGCTGATTATATCATAGTCTTACTTTTAATTTCAATTTTCCTTGCTATTCTCCCCATGTGTCTTGAATATTTAGAAAACAATTACTGTCAATTCAGCTATGAAAACAGAAGTCCATATAAACAAAACATAGAGAGATATTAGCAAGAGGGGAGTTTAGTTATTATTAAGGCCTGGTCCACAAACTTAACTAAATCATTTGCTTAGCATGAGTTATTGATAGGTTCATACATTATTGTATCCTAGGTCTCTTGGTTCATCCAACATGCTGAAGGTAATGACTTTCTCAAGTTGAGCTAGACTCCTCTTACTTGACAGACAAGTCTATACAGTTTTATTGAACATAATATAGGTTTGTTATTGATTTATTTTAGGATATTTTTTTTCAATTTCCCAAGAAAGATCTCAGCTCTGAGATTTCCTGACAGTCCTCATCTAAATATTATCCAGTTCAACAAGCTATATAAAAGCTCAGCCAAGGTCTGTAGGTGGTGACACTTAGTATGACCCAAATGCAAAGCCACAACAAAACTTTAACAAGTTATTATAATGAATGACCTTGACATTCAGTGCTTGGATATATTTGCTACATATTACTTATTTAGCTTGTTTTTTATGAACCATCCGTCTCACAAATGAGACTCACAAATGGACAGCTGACAAGGTTAAAAAAAATACATTTCTCAACTAAAACCCCAAAGCGCTTGTGAAACCGCTTTTTTCCTCTTAAAGTACTGCATTTACAGAGCATTGTGAGTTACGTTATTATGCTCTCTAGACTAAAATGTTAAAAATCTCAGAAAGCCATCACAAATCAATTATGTAATGCAGCCAAGAAAATGTCATAAATGTAGTCAGTCTGTCTTTACTGTAGTCTCACATCAGTACAAGAAACACATTCATAAATGGTCTATAACCTCCTACAATTAAATTAATATGATTACAAAAAATATACACATATAGCAGGAGCTTGAGCTATAAAGGTACACATGGGTATGCCGACACAAAAAACACTCTTTCATTTTAATGCATTCTAATTTTAATTTTTAAAAATAAAAACTAAATAAAAATTAAATTTATTTAAATTTAATTAAAAATTACATTTAAAAATCTAGTTTTGAATTTTTTAGGATAATTATATATCATAATGTGTTAATCTCTATGGTTCTTAACTAACAAGCAGTGATTTCTGATCATAAGAAGCAATATTCAGAATAAAACTAACCTTAAATGTTTCAGCCTCATCTCCTGTCAAGCCAGCAATGGCTGAATTGGGTAGTACAGGACCAAAATAAGGATCACTGACACTGGGATGGGAAAAGAAGCTATTTTCCTCATCTGTTAAGGATCCATCTTCAATAGGAAGTTTGACAGGCCTGAAACAGTATGGAAAATAACTTGGAAGAATGATTCTTTAAATATGAATTAAAAACATGAACATTTGTTTTCAGTATTAGATAATCACCTTATTTATAAAGTATATTTTATAATATGTGAACTATGACAAAATACTTATACTGTGTAATCTATAATAAAACATATACTGTATATTTCATACTGTATATTCTACTATGAGACATGGACTAGACCATGGGTGTCAAACTCACCACGTCACGTGACATGTTGCTACATATTGTGACTTTTTTTGCATTGCCAGAGCTGGTATGGACGTGGCCTCCATATGATGCAACCGGCCCGCAGGCTGGCAGTTTGACATCCCTGGACTAGACAGTTGCTCTCCACAAACTACAGACCCTAGTCAGAAAACTTTTTCTATTTTCTGTAGCATATCCTTGTTGTTTCTGACATAAAAATCATAATAATACTTACTTTGAAATCAAGATGTGCTCTTTGTTATTCCTTTCAATACTCCAAAGGGTAATAGAGGCTCCATTAAATAAACACAACTGATGCCAATTCATAGGATTAAAACTCATTGCAGTTATTTCTATCTCAGGTTGTGACTTACTACATAATAAGAGTTTGTTCTGCCAATCCCTAATTAAAAGTGAAAGAAAGTAATTTTTTATTTGTTGTATTTGCAAAAGTATTCTGTCAATATATATTTTATCTCCAAAAATCCAGAAGCTATTCTAATGGTCAAAACATCAATATATAAATAAAAGAAAAAGCAAAACTATTCAGATCTGCATTTTGCAATATAATATTAGTTAATATAATATTGCAATATTATTGATAATATCAATTAAAAAGAATTAAATAAAGCAAATGAAGGTTCAACATCCCTGCTGCACCATTTTAGGTCCCTTTGAAAAAATTATCAGGCAAGTATATTAATAAATAATCTCAGCCAATTTATTCGGAGCTATGGCAGGAAAGACAGTCTTTTGTAATCAGTCTTTTCTTAATTGTTATTTTCTACAGTGTGTCCAGGTTGGTACAACATGGTACACTAAAACACTGACAATGATTTTTGGGAACATTACAAATCTGGTTACTTTATTTTACAGCATGATGGTGGAACACAGCAACTGCATTTATTTATTTAAATGATTTATAGAGCTACCCATCTACACAGCAGTGACTCTGGGCAGGTGTACAAAGATTAAAACCAGACAGATTGAGCCAGCCAGAATCGATGGGAATTGAGTGGCATATAAATTTAATAAATAAATTTGGTCTGATTAAAATAACACAATAATTAATAACCATTTATGTGAACTATAGAAATCTGCTTAAAAATTATGATTATTTGTGTTATAACATTATCATGCAAATATGACAAATGTTTGTCAGGTCTAAGAGCAATTTGAAAACAATAATTTAGATAAAATATGCCAGGAAAAAAAACATCTTAAGCTTTAAACATAATATTTCCACTCTCCTTTGCCTCTTCTTCCATTTGGGAGTAAATAAACTAACTAGGAACTTACTGAAGACAAAAGAGTTATCTTTGAACCTGAATCCTAACTTTTTGCTAACAGATTTGGAACTAGAAACCATCTTCAGACTCTGGTTTGAAAGAATCTAGATTTCAACATAATCTAAGCTTTTCCTGGTAAGTTTCTGGTTAGTGTAAAAAAAAAGCCAAGCAGGATGATATGCAAATAAGCACACTAATTCATGAATACAGCAGAAAGATAGAGAATTCTGATCCAGAATTTGTATGAATGCAATTCTGACCCACTTGTCCCTAATAAAATATGCGATCAACACTTACCATATTGAAAGACAAAACTCAGGGAGCGACGAATAACTGGCCAGATAGGGACCTGTGTGACTGAATGCAAGCAAGGAATAGTCTAGGCTGGCTTGCCCTAAAAGTTAAAAGTAGCACAGACTTTAAAGCTTATTAAAACAGCTTTATTTAATATTTTAATGTAGTTTTTTTAAATTTAAGTTAAATAGATTTAAAAATATGTCCGTCCATAATACATGTTATAAGCTGAATGCGTTATTCCAGTGTTATATTATTGTTACTCTATTCCTGCTTGGCACAGTGTGATGATATATGAGTAATATCTGACTTAAACTCATTAAAACTGCTTTGGCACCATGTAACATGCTTTTTTTAACCCCTCAAATCAGCATTTTAGAAGGGTCTTAAAAGGCAGCCCCATATGCCATATAGGCTTTTTCCAACCTTATTTCCAAATCATATACAAACAATGCTTAAATTTAATCCTCCATTTTCATCAGCAATTATTAGGGTTTTTTTTTATCTCACTTGCAATTCTTTATAAAATTCATACATCATACATTATTCTTTGACATATTTTATCATTATCATAGATAGCACCATCCAACCTAAGGAACCCAACACTCGCACTTTACCTCCATTCACTTTATTATGTCTATAGTGTCCTTTGGTTTTTGTAGTAAATTACAGGAGTGGTTTAATATTGCCTTTTCCTGCATAGTATGAAATGTCTTTGCTGTTGTCACTGAATGGATCATCTACCTTCAGCATCTTTCTATATCGGTACTGCCTGATATAAATGCCTGCTTGCTTTAGCTGGGCAGCTGGAAATGACCTTTACACCTAGGGCAATCCTACTGGGTGTATACATTTTTGGCACACATGCCTGTATTCGTCTCTCATCCCTCCCAGGAACATTCTGCTGTCATGAGAGCATGACATGCATGGAGATAATAAAGGACATAGAAGTATAAATGTTTATTTTTATTTAACTGAATGCTGCCATAAGTATATGGAATAATGCTGTATATAAAAGTGCCCTCACACCCACCTTTTAATTTTGCTATTTTCTTTAATCCTGGAAAATTGTGAACATAGATTCTAGGATTCAACTGCCGATCAGAAAAAGCAACAATATTCTGACTTGCATTCACTGCAAAGGCTCCAATACTTCCAAAGTGACACCGCAAGAATGACCTCTCTCGTGTTTCCATGTTAATAAAGAGGATGTAATTGCCGCAAGGATAACAAACAGTCCTGTTGTTGATAAATCCAACTTTCCTATTGGTGAATCCTTGTACCCACCTTAGGGAATATATATATATATATTAATTGGATTATTTATAATTATAGATGACTAATCTCATACATTAAATAAGGTGCTTCCTAGTAGGGGTTGTGTGCCCTCAGGTCAGTTTTTACTCTTCATGACTACCTAGGTTAGTCCCTGTGGTTTTCCTGGCAAGGTTTTTCAGAAGAGGTTTGCCACTGCTTTCTTCCCACCTGGTTTTGTGCCAAAGAGAGGACAAAAACTCAGTCTTCTGGTTTCTAAACTGGTGCTTTAACCAATAACCCAGACTGACTCTTTTTGAGCAGGTAGGTGGTAGCTATCTAAATTATCAAGCTGCTACTTCACAATGTGATAAGTATGATAATATATGAAACTCAAGATATGAAAACTCCTTCTGAGTGAGATTTAAGACCTTCATCTTTCCACTTGCTAAGTTCTGCCAAGGTACATTATCCTTACTCTCACCAGATCTGTTTCATAGATTGCCTTTCTTCTTTAAAATTCTCATCTCTACACTTTTGAAAATGTCATCAACTTTATCCAACCTCTTCCTTCACATAGTTGTTTTTATTTAATACCCATGCATTCTCTTTCAGCTTCACCATTTGCAGCAATATCAAATCATTTATTTCTTTTTCACCTGTCTTTTTTCTTTGACAACTCATTTATTTCAATCCCACTCTTCAATATAATACTATAATTTTCACAGAAACGTCTAAAATACTCTTTCCAACATGCCCAGGACTGTCTCCAAGGATGTTGGCATGAAAAAGTAAACACACAATGGGGCTTTCATTTTTTTTTTTAAATGAACAGCTGGTAATCTTGTCTCGATGTGGAATCCTTGAAAAACACAGGACCAATTAAAAACCCGGCGGTCCTTATCTTACCAAACCGGAGATATTTTTTATTTGCGAGGCAAAAAGTCTTCACGAAAGAAAATCGCACTATTCTACAGTATAGCTCTTATTCCCGGATAAGCTTTAGGGAAGATAGGGAATAACGAAAGATTTTTAGGAAAGGACATTTCAGAAACACCCGAAAGCATCCCGTCCCTCTCCTTTCCTCTCGTACTTGGGTTCCAGCTCGGCTTTGTGCATCTGGGATCCCGGGCGACGGCCGCCCCCTTTCAGAGCGTCCATGGTGCCCGCTACCTTGCAGTCTTCGTCTGGCTGAGGTTTTTCGATGCCATTTACATTCGTATCCGAGCAACCGTGAGCTGCTCTTCTGCGATTGGCTAAAGCCAATAAGCTCCTCCTCCTCCTTTGCAGCCCACATGTTTCAAGTGGGTTATAGAGGAAAATGAGAAAGGAGCCTTTAAAAATAACTGTAAGGAATGTCTTCTCTCTTAACTGCAGCTGTCCGGCCTGCCATTCCCTTTTTTTTTAATACTGTACGCTAAGTGTTAAAATAAGGGGAAGTTTCGCTGCACGTTGCAGTACCCTACGTGGGAAGAGCAAAAGAAAAGAAAAGAATGACGTTTGTTTCTTAATTTATTTTTCACCCCAGTTAGCCTTTCAGACTCTCCAAAAATAGAGCAGCATTATAACTAGTAGCAATAATTAAAGAAAATGAATAAATAAAAAACATTTAAAAGAACTCCTATTTTAAATAAGCTTTCCGGGAATAATTGGTCACTTCAACAGAACAACTTGAGAGAGAAATTCACCGTCTGAATATTAAAAGGAAAGTTTCCATAACTATGATTTATTGAATAAACTGAAAATAATTAGGTTTACATATGATAAGCCATAAATATGATTTATAAATTAGTGTAGCTACATTCACACACCGTACTGTTCCAAAATTAGACAAGCCACTTTATGGTGTTATTTGAACCTTTAAGCTTCATTTTTTTTTTTTTAGATAAAGGTGATATTAGCATTTTAGGCATCCATGTCCCCTTTTGAAGTTAGAAGACCATGTTTTCCTTTTAAGCAAAGTCATTTTCTTCTTTTCATATGTGAGAAGCCTTTTCAGCAAACCCAAACACTAACCAATAGGAAGCATATTCTAAAGTCCTTGGGCATTCTAGATATTAAAGAAAGAAGCATGGATGAGAAAGCAAAGATACAACTTATTTGTTTGTTAATTAACTGATTGATTTACATTTTATATTTCCAAATCATCAGTCTCCCTCAAAGAAGGGCTTTCTCTTTTCTTGTGCGTAAGCAGTGACAACTTTTCTTGTTTGATGCATCACATATATCAATTGTATGTATAATTATGTACTTTATAAAAAGACTTGATATTCCCCCCCCCACTTAAAAACTGCTTTTTGCTTTCCCCTTGGTGATTCCTATTATGGGAAAGGGGAGCCACTTTGCAAAGGTTAATGTTTTCTCTCCCAAATTCAGGGAATATTTCCATGCAAACTTCATGCCTAAGATTCAAGGCAACAGCTTAACATTGATGATCCAGGGCAGGGAGCAAATTCTATTATTGTTATTGTTATTATTATTTATTGATGAATTTTATACAATAGTAAAAATACAAATTTAAGAAAAAGAGAAAAGAATAAAGAAAAGTGATGAATAGATAAATACAAATGAAAAATATAGAGAAGCAGCTTCTAATCCTTACAGCAATTACAAATAAAATTATTTTCTGTCCTTCCTCTTTAAGATTACATCATGATTTCCTTCTTTCCCTATTTTACACTTTGTAATCATCAGATCCATAAATTGCCAATTCAATTTTTTCCATTTTCCATAAAAAGTTCACAAAGAGTTTCCAGTCATCAATACATGTACTTGTCTTTTCCCTAATAAAACAAGTCAATTTTGCTATTTCTGCAAATTCTGTAATGTTAACCAGTTGTTCTTCCATTGTAGGTATTTCTGAACCTTTCCTTTTTTTTTTGCATATACTGTAATAATCTTGCAGCAGTTGCCATATATAAAAAACAGTTTTCCATGATCTTTTTTAGTTCATTGTCCATAAGGTCCCTCACCCAAAAAAATTGGTTTCAAATCTTAAAAATGCTTTGTATCATCACTGTATGTATTTTGGACCCAAACTTTTCTAACCTTTTTTTACATTGCCCCGGTATATGATAAAATGACTCTTCGTGTTTTTCACATTTCCAATATAAATTTGAAGTACTTTTTATATATTCTTGATAATTTTTCTAGTATGCTCTGTATGTTCATCATTAGTACCTAATGCAGTCTTGCATTCCATCTTATACTGCATAATTCAATTCCACTTGTTTTTTTCTGTTAAACTTTTTTCTTAATTGTATTCAAAAAATTATTGAAAACTAAATCCTTCTGCAATTAATTATTCTCTTGATTTCATTTTAAATTCACCATACTCCTGAATTAATATATCTTGAGTATGTTCATCATTTCTCTTTACCCTCTATTTCTGTAAAACACTTCCTATGCTGAAACTAACAAAGGTATCTGCACAGCCTGGATTTATTTATCCTCAATATGACATTCCTAATATAATGATTTTTAAAATCTATATTAACTTTAACATATAATAAAAAGCCATGCCACCTTGAACTTCAAATTGTGATCTTCTAATGCTAATTTTCTTTTATTTCTCAAAAGCTACATTTTTTTAAATCCAAACTAAGCATCAGACTGCAAAATACAATTTAGAATCAGGCAATTCCAATACTCATTTCTTTACATCTTGAAGAATTTTAAATGTCACTCTTGTTTTTTTCCATTGCCACATAAAGCTAGATATATCTTTTTGCCTCAGGCAAATGATCAGGTTCATTATACTGTAGCCTTTAGACTAGAAAACACTATGTAGAAACATTACATCTAATAGATTATGAATAAAAGATAGACATAAAATGCAATAAAATAACAACTCATGCCCTTGTATCCTTTGGCTTAGAGTCACTATTGCAATACATTCTACATGGAGCTGACCTTGAAGAACATTTGGAAGCTTCAGTTAATACAGAATGCAGTAGTAAATAGTGTCGGATATACACAGCTCACGAAACACCAGTACTATGTGAGCTGCATTGGTTACTGGTATGTTTCTGGGTGCAATTCAAGGTGCTTGTTGTCACTTTTAAAACCCTACATGGCTTGAGACCAGGTTACCTGCGGGACTGCCTTTTTCCAGATGTCTCTGTCCATCCAATTCAATCTAGCAAATTGGACACGTTGCAAATCCTGTCTCAGCCAAAGAATTATCATCTGGCTTTACTGTTAGCCTTTGGTAAAGCTTTAAAACCCTGGCTGTTTGAGATTGATAAGAGCCCTGTTTCTTCGTTTTATTGTTAACTGGCCAAGTAAACTGGTTTCTGCATATATTTTCTATTGGTTTTATTGTTTTAAAATCTTTTTTTATTATTTTAATTGTAGTATGTGTGTGTGTATATATATATACACACACAAAAATATACACATTTTTAAAGTAATTTTATATATATATATATATATATATATATATATATATATATATATATATATATATATATATATATATAATTATTTTCTCACTCTTATGGTTTTCTCACCCTTATGGATGTGTTTCTCAATCTCATTTTCTCTACCAGAAGCCTGGGAGTTTGAGGGTTCTTTGTGGTATCTTAGCTGTTCCTAGCACTGCACTCTTATTTTATTTATTTATATCCCGTCTTTATTGTTTTTACAAATAACTCAAGATAACAACATGTCCAACACACCTTCCTCCTCTTATTTTCCTTACAATAACAACCCTGGGAAGTTGATTGGGCTGAGAGAGAGTGACTGGCCCAAAGTCACCCAGCTGGCTTTCATGGCTAAGGCAGCAGTTGAACTCACAATCTTGTTGCTTTCTAGCCTGGTGCCTTAACCACTAGAGCAAACTGGTTCATTTGGACAGAGTTTTGATGTTGTTCTTGGGATCTGTTGGAACCACTCTCCCAGCTTAGGAGTCACAGCCCCGAGTGCTCTTGTCACCACTGGGACCATTTTAGGCTTTCCTTTCTACATCCTCTCTAGTTCCTCCATCAGGCCCTGATTCTTTTCCAGTTTTTCATACTCCTTCTTCCTGATGTTGTCACTTGGCACTGCTACATTTATCACCACCATCTTCCATCTACTACCACGAGGTCTTGTTGATTGGTTGGTACCTGCCTGTATATCTGGATCTGCAAGTCCCACAGGACGTTAGCTTTCTCATTCTCAACGACCTTCTGTAGGATCTCCTATCTGGATTTAGAAGAGTCTAGTTCAGGGTGTCAAACTGCCGGCCCATGGGCCAGACACGTCACGAGGAAACCACGGCCATCCCATTGCCGGCAATGGGGAAAAAGTTCTGATATGTCGTGCGACGTCGCATGTTTGACATGTCTGGTCTAGTTCAAAATTTGTATAGATGTTCCTGTACACAATGCCAGTTATATATACAATGTAGTGAATGGTAGTCCACCCAGATTCCTTGAGGTGAATGGTTATAGAAATTGAATAAATTAATAAATAATAATAATAAAAATACATACAATAGTGGCAATTACCAATATTAGCACTAATCTCCAGTCATAAATTGAAGTACAGAATTAGGCAACCTAGGAAGATTTCTAGCAAGTTTTCTAGAGCATTTTTTGTAGTAGCACAGTTTTTTCCTAACCTGTAATTCTAGGTTTTGCAGTCTCAACAGGCCTGCTGGATACGTGGTCATACTTTGACCCAGAAAATCCACACATTCAATATCTTTTATTTTTCTGTTAATATTTTCTAAAACTGGGATTTGGTTGCAAGTTTAAAAAGTTAAAGTGCTGACAATTTTTTAGTTACTATTAGTGGAAGTAGTGCAAACATCTTTTTGATGACAAACTTATTTCAAAATTCTATGTGGCAATAATGTGTTTTACTACGTGGCAATAATGTGATCTACAATTGAGAACCAATCAAATTTGAGTTCTTTTTTAAACCAGGAATAAGAGGAAAACATATTTCAAAACTGCTAAGAGACAAACAGAAGCTTTGGAATTAAGGAAGTTGAGATAGCTAACTATCTATCTAAATAGACATTGGACATCAGGTTGAGTTATTTTCTAATGCTGATGGAGAACTTTCTACAATCATTTTCAATTCAATGAAAAAAGAGTGGTATTTGCTGAAAAAAACATTTATCTATCTGCAATAAAACTTTTGTGTTTGTAGCCTTTAACTGGATGTAACGGTGCATTGTAGGGCAAAATATTTTCAATCAAGGTACCTCAAATCAGATTACTTACAGAATGTATTCAAAATCTGGGATCCATGACTCCCATGGAATGGAAATTTGGCAAATTTTATAAAAATATTACAATAAAATTATCATAAAGCATTTTATGATGTAATACAAAATGTCATAAAACATTTCCTGTTGTGAACTGCTGATGTTTGGCTGTGCTACACACTTCAACGAGGACTACCTTTCAAGGCACATACATCTCTGAATATCTTCCTGAATTTTTAAGAAGTTTTCAGTACAATTTGGCCATTGTTGAAGTTTTTGAGGAATCTGGTAGTTTCTCTGAAACAACAGGTTCTCTCCTTTTATAAACCTACCGTCATCTTCTTATTACTATATTTTTTATAGATTTATTATATAGTTTTAAAATTTACTGTACATTACTTTATGAGGCATATCAATTACAATCAGCATTTTACAGATATAAAATATAACTTAGGGAGGGGGGATTTATGTTTCCATTTCTAGTCCTGATTTTAAGTCTGCACAGCCACTAAGCATTGTTTTAACTTGAAATGACATGCAAGAGACAAATGTTTTACATATTTATTTATATAAATATTAATAAACCAATCCAATCCAAAGTTTCTGGGCATTTTACCAGAATACAACAACACGCAACCCAACAACAAAAATCATCCAATATTCAACAGCATAAATAATAAAAATACACTACAATATATAATATAGCTGCTGATTGTAGTTGCGTACCTACCTTTCTGTATTGGCTCCATAGCTATCTTTGTACGTCCCCAGGCAAGTTGTCTGATTTACACATTAAGTTGAATCACAGGGCATAATATGTCCTATGTTACTGGGGTTTACATACATGACTTACACTATCGTTTAACCTTGGATGTGAATGTTTTTAATTCTCTAAGAAAATGACACGTTGACGTCCTAACAGACGAAGCGAAAATAAACACGGGTAGACGACTTGGAGACGAATCTATTTGTCGTATTGTTCTTATACCTTTTAACTCTTGTATTTGACTTTCAAACGTATTTTTACATAGTAGATGGACTTTGTACTCTTGCAAACTGCACTTAAATGCATAGACCCTTATTGTTAATCCGCATCTGTTTCTCAAATCTGTTTCTCAGAGATTGCTACGGCGGAAGTATTTATCGCGATAAATGGGATATTAATTCGCTCGGCCCTCCAAGTCATTTGCTTCGTGTCAATCAACTAGCGTTGTAGCTCTTTAGCATCCAGCGGAGGGAGATGGTGCATACTAATGAAGAGGGAGGAGCCAAACTGCGTCGAGAGAAGAGAGAAAAGGCGGCGTCTTAGGGAAAATTCCGACGGGCACAGTTGGTTCCGTTTTCTGTCTGGAGGCCCGAAGTAAGATGTCTGGGGAATTCGCTAGAAGCTTGGGAAAAGGTGAGAAAGCGCTCTGATCCGAGGAGAAGCGGGTTTATCTAATTCAACAGGGTTAAGGCAACCCTCGTTTCTAGGGCTGTGGGAGTTACACAATCATCAGTTCGGTGAAGGCTGTTGTGACCTTTCCTAAGGCGGTGAGTTGTCGGCCTGGCTGATCTTCACGCACGCCGTTTTTCAAGAGCTGGGGGACGACATGCAATGGAGCAGTGTTTCTCAACCTTGACAATTTTAAGGCATGTGGACTTCAACTCCCAGAATTCCACAGCCAGCAATGCTGGCTGTGGAATTCTGGGAGTTGAAGTCCACATGCCTTAAAATTGTCAAGGTTGAGAAACACTGCAATGGAGGCTTTCGGGAGAATATAATGTCGTTAAGGATGTCACCCCTGATCTCTGGTCTTCTGTGGCCAGAGGCAATGAATGGATTTCATTATTAGGTTAAAAAATATTACATATTGTACAGCCAAATACGTGTTGAGGGCGTGTACACTTCTAATGTGCCTTTTAGTGGAATGTATGGCTCTGATATGCAGCCTTGCCCCAGTACATTTACTTTATGCATGTTAACAGACATTAAACTTGAGTGCATAAAATTGCTTATAATTTGGCCAATAAGGATTACTCTAACAAAACGATGTTTTATATTCTTGGTATTTGTTCCTTGCTATTATGACTCAAATGTAGATATTTGTATTTATAAAACACATGAAGCTTGGGTAATTTTAATCCTGGTTTGTTGAATTAACTTTATTTGGATTTTTTGCAACAGACTGAACTATACACTAAACATAATGGGTAAAAAGCAGAACAACACACTACACAAGCTTAACATTGTATGAAGGGAGGCTGTGAAAGATAAACTATTGGAGTAAGTAACAATAATGAATAGGTGTAGTAAGAAGATAGACCAGTGATGGCGAACCTTTTAGAGACTGAATGCCCAAACTGCAACCCAAAACCCACTTATGCATCGTCAGTGCCGGGTGGGTGTGGCCCATTGGCTGGGTGTGGCCAATTGGCTGTGCCTGGGCGTGACTGCAGTGGTAACAGCAGACTGGGTGGGACTAAAAAGTTCAATCAATCAATTCCAACTTTGCAAGATCTTTTTTTCCCGCAAGAAGTTGAAATTGACTGATTGAACCTTTTTTTTTTTTTTTGCGCACGGTGGCGGAGGCCTAAAGCGAAAAGGTTTTATAAAACCCAGCTGAAGGCCTAGGACTGGGGCGAAGGCACTGTGCCCACAGAGAGGGCTCTGAGTGCCGCCTCTGGCACCCGTGCCATAGGTTCGCCACCACTGAGATAGACCATGGTTGTTTTGAGGGTTTTATTTCCTACCTTTTTTTCTTTTTCTATATTATACATCTTAATGCCGTGTTTTCATTGTTGCCTTTGGGTGAAGGCTCTGTGGTATCTGAAGCAAAACAACTAGATTTGTGTAACAGCTTTGTTCCATATACTATCAACCTTGCTAACAATCAAGACTCATTTTTTTCCGCTCTGTATTCAAAATGGACTGTGATTAATATAAGTTTTGATGTCACTTTTGTATAACTTGGCATCTTTGTTTGCTGCTGCTGTTGTTGTTATCCTTGTTCGGTGGATGGCATTCCTCCTTTCGAGAGCAGGGGGCATCAGAATTTCATTTTAATATGTGCCGTTGTGTATACAGGTAAATGACAATAAAGGTTATCTTATTTTTTGGATGGCTTATTGTTTATCTTCAAGATAGAATGTAGTTTTTGTTAATTCTGACTGGAGATTTGTATGTATTTCAGGAGCCTCTGCTCCAGGGCCAGTGCCTGAAGGAATCGTCCGTCTCTACAGTATGCGTTACTGCCCTTTCGCACAGAGAACACGACTCGTCCTGAAAGCCAAAGGAATCAAGTATGAGCAGATATCTGTCTCCTATATTCATTAGGGCTTAATGTAAAAATATTGAACTCCTTTTTGGTTGAAAATTAGCAGATAGTTGGTACATATCAGGACTTATAGCAATTGTCTTCAAAGATTTGTTACCTTCCTTCTTTTAACATCATAGAACATATTCAATTTCAGATTTGTTCCTTAGTTCAATAGGGGATTCTTCTCCTGAAGAATTTCATCTGAGAACTAGTTTAGAAATATAATAGAGAAATTGATGAATAACTAAAGGGAAGGGTATGAATTGATGAATAACTAAAGGGTAGTTGTTTTCTTTTAAATTCTTGGTATTTCTGTTGCTCTGATAATGTAATATGTTTTCTTGATCATTTGCAGGATTTCTTGTCTTGTGATGATTGGAGGTCATCTGCTCAGGACTGATTGCCTGTGTAGATTATTGGTCTTAGAATATCATGCAGTATTTAAGGCATAGACCTGGCTGAGTTACATTCCTTTTGGATTTCAAAGAAACTTGAAGGAATGTGGCATTTAGTTATTTAATAGTGTCCCTCAGTCTTTTTAAATAGTGAGTGAGCATGTGCCTATGGTTAATTTTATTATAATGGTAAGCTGTTTTTTGTATGAACAGCCATAGGACATGCTTTAAATACATTAAAAAAACACCTGTCCTCCATGTCATACCAGTTAAGGTAAAATCAGGATTCTAGAGATGAACTTAACTTCTGATGGGATCATAAATAGATCTGTCCATGCAGATTTCTTGGCAACCATGTGAAAGTGATTAGCCTTTGCTCTTCCAGATGCTGTGCTTGTTTTTTTCATTTTTATTAGGATAGATGATTTCCTATCCTAATAATAATGAAGACTACTCCTATTGAGCTTCTGAGATCATCTGGGTGCTACAAAGAGATGAAACTTGTTTAACCATTAAATATGTGATGATTATACTTTAGGAAAAGGTTAGCACGAAGTAATCCAAGTAAGAGTTACACTCTTAGCCATGCCATGCAATCCAATCTTGTTTCAAAACTTTTGAAAGAAGGGAAGGAACAAGGTGTCAGGCTGAAAATGCAAGCCACAGACACTAACTTCTTTGGTTGTCCTGTTTGAATGTAGTGGAGACAACGTTATATAGAGACACACAAATGGATCAATAAAATCAGAATCTAAAGTATTCTCTTCAGTTTCCAAGAATTAATATCATGTTGTATTTTTCAAATAGCATATAGCAGTAATTACTAGTCGTATCCTTCATTTTTATTTATCTATTTCTATCCCATCTTTAATATTTTACAAATAACTCAAGGTTGTGAACATATCCAGTATACCTTCCTCCTCTTACTTTCCCCATTACAACAACTTTGAACAACCTCATTTTTGTATAGCCTATCTTAGTAACGTATTCCTGAAAGAATTAACCTGGTGGTTTCATCTCATTCTACTTAGCCATGAAATTGTTAATATCAATTTGAAAAACAAACCAGAGTGGTTTTTTGAGAAGAGCCCATTTGGATTGGTACCTGTGCTAGAAACAAGCAAGGGTCAGCTGATCTATGAATCTCCAATCACTTGTGAATATTTGGATGAAGCTTATCCAGAAAAGAAATTGTACCCTGCGGACCCTTATGAAAAAGCTTATCAGAAAATGCTCCTGGAATACTTCTCCAAGGTATTACTGAAGCGTAGCAAGAAATTCATTTTAGTGTGGAAGATTACAATAAAACTGATAAATTTCTATTTTGATATTGCATTGATAAATTTTGAGAATCTCAAAGGTACTTTTTCAAAAACAACTGGACTATGTTATTTTCCTTCAGGAAGACATTTCACTTCTCATCCAGAAAGCTTCTTCAGTTCTGGCTGGATGGTTGGGGGCGTGCGGGGGGAGGATAGAAGGATTATATTCCTTTGCAGTCATTTGAACATTGTCACTTTCTCTGACAGCCGTTGAGACCACATGAGGGTTTATCCTATGCCCTCGGGGTCAACTGAAGCAGAATGCAATTGGGTGTAATCTTCTTGAAACTGCTGAAAGGACTGTGTTGTAAACAAGAGATAGGTGGTGTTGTATTCCTCCCCCTCTGTTGAGAGAGGCGGTAAATTAATTGGTCAATTAATTCAGAACTAAAGAAGCTTCTTGGATGAGAAGCCAAACGCCTTCCTCAAGGAAAATAGTATAGTTTTGCTGCCTTTTTTTAAAAAAAAACATGTTTGAGACGAGCATGATATGGATGACTGACAATCTCCATAAACATTCTTGAGAATGTGGCTTTCTTTTTCCTTGATGCTTAAAATGTGTTTGAATAGGCAAAGTGAATTCTGCAAAAGAATAAATTCCTTCATTGAAGGAAAGATAATGAACCATTTTATGATAACTGGGCAATGTAATCTCATGCTAGCTGGTGGTCTAGGGTTTATGAGTAACTCAATGCTTCAGAAACTAGCTACTTCTGCTATAATATACTTTCTGTGCTATTTTGAAGAAATAAAGCCTCAGATATGGTATGCCTAGCAGTTGTTGGAAATGTAGACAAAAGCCAGGCACATACTATCATCTTTGGTGGACATGCCCTAAAGCCAAAGGATTTTGGTCAAGAATACATATATGGTTAGAGAAAATGATAAAACAACATGTAGATTTTAAACCAGAATTATTTTTGTTAGGTATAATTGTAGGAAATTATGAGTAAGAATGTGTATATTTAATGTTACATGTACTAACTGCAGCGAGAATTGTATTTGCTCAACATTGGAAAGATGAAGAATTACCAGTGGAGGAAGAGATAATTAGGAAAATTTTGGACTGTGCAGAAATGGACAGACTTACACTGAAAATGAAAGAGAAAGAAGATTCAGAATACTTTAGAACATGAGATACATTTTATCAATGGCTAGAAAAACGAGGTAGAAAGAAAGGAGTTTAACATGTACTAGTAAGCTAAATATTGGAACCCAGACAACATGTTGCTGATAAAATATTAAGGATTTGTGATTATAAAAAATCAATAAAATATTGTTAAAAAAGAAAGAAACTAGCTGGTTCTGCTATAATATACTATCTATGCTATTTTGAAGAAATAAAGTCTCAGATAATGGTAATTTGATTAGAAACATTATTACCAATATATGAGGTAAAGTTGGATAAATAGTTCAAAGAATTAGTAGTGATTATGGAAGATTTCTGACTTCTAGGTGAGGAGTCAAAGTAGGATTTAATTAGCAAACTATACTCTTTGAACCAGACTCAGAGCAGCCTCAGTTTGAGTTGTATGCTAAAGAGCAAAGATTTTGTTAGTTTAGGGCTGTGTGTTTTACCTCCCCCCCCAAAATATTAATTATTCCATATCTGTGTTGAAACTGTAGGTGTGAGGTACAAAAAATCAACTTGATGTATATTACTCATGCCTATGCACAGCAATATTCTTTGCTAAGGGCTAGCACATGCTTGGAGTTAGATAAGGATCAAAGGAATTCAAGAGAGGTTGAACTTACTTTGCTTGTGGCTACATAGGGATTCTAGGCTGATTCCTTTATTAATTCCGCCTCCAAATTTGGCCAGAATTCTGCAGCTAGCATTCTGGGAGCTGAAGTCTTCACATTTTACTGAGGTTGAGAAATGCAGTCTTTTGTTTATTTACTAAAGTGTATAAAGAACATTCTTCAAAGTTTTGGGATCACTGAATGAAAATTAGTTTGGTTAATGAAAACTTTTTTGGGAAGATAACTATTATTCTGTGAAGTGTAGGCAATATGGAGAGTTTCAATCTGACCAAAGGAATAAATAGGTAGTTTAGAGACAAACCCTTACTATCATTTATATCTCCTATGAGATAAATGAAAGGAACATTGTTTTTTCAATTTTTCCTAAATTCTGAATGCTTCAAAAAGACAGCAAAACTATGATTTTGGGACTCTCTATAGGAGCTGTTGTTAAGTAAATATAGGTAGTCGTTGATGTGTGTCGTTGTGCCCACAGTAAAAAATGACAATAAAGGTTATCTTATATCTTATATCTAGTCCTTGTCTTATATCTCTAGTCATAGAGATACTAAGTAATCAATAGTTATAATTATTTTTATTATTATATTTTATTGATTTTTTTACAATAACAATCCCTAATGCTTAGCAAACAGTATGTTGTCTGGGTTCATATATTTAAAAACAATCAATAATAATTAATTTCTATAATTAATCAATATGTTAGTCAATGATATATTTCCATGATCTTCTCTTCTTCCAATAATATTCTCCTTTTGTTTGCATTAAACAAATATAATTCTTAATATTTTCAGTACATACAAGATTGAGTATAAACATTTTTCTAGTATTTGTACAACTAACAATAACATCAACATATAACATCTTTTTAATCAGCTTATATTTCAATTGTATTTATGAAAGTCATCTTATTAAATCATTATGTGTCCTGTTTTCAAGATTCTTATTTAAGCTTATTTCCTCACTGTACTCAAACCACTCTTATCGGTCATAATTTTGTCAAAATTAATTACCTTTGAATTGCTCAACTGTTCTCACCTACAGCAGTTGTAGCGACCCACACTCAAATGATCACTATTTGCAATTTTCCCTGCTGGTTCCTAGAAGCAAAGTCAATAGGGAAGCCAGCAGGAAAAGTCACAAGTTGCTTGGGAAAGTCTCCTCCATCTGTGCATTCTCCCTGACCCTTGAGCTCACACCCACTCTCTCCAGCTACTTCATACCCTTGGGCATCTGCCGCCACCCCATGTCCTGCCACATTTGGATTGTGTCTTCTTCACCACTCATGTAGCACTCCACTCCATTTCTATAGTTGCAAATCCTCTTCTATCTGGCTGCAGCCAGCCTAGGTCCTACTGTGCTCTCATGGTGCCTCCTCCTCCATTCACACGCCCTTGCACACCCTCTTCCACCATGCCTGTCTGCCACTTGTGACCTCTTGTGCATCCCCTCCCATCCAGCAAGAGTCACCCAAGCCCACTGCTCGTGGCATGCCTCCCCTCCACTTGTGCACTCTCGAGTATCATCTCCCACCAAGCAGCAACTACTCCAAGCCCTGATTCACTTAGGCTATGCTTTCCTGGCCTGCTTCCTCTGCCATCTGGCAGCAGCCACTTGCCTGCCTGCCCGCCTGCTTGCAAGCCACCTGGTACTTGCCAGCTTTCCTGCTGAATCTGGTTGTTGGAAGACAGAAGTGGTGAGGAGGTGTTTGCCTATCAATCCACAATTCTTGTTTAAAAGCAGTGATTGCTAATGCTAAGCAATGTGACACTTTGTCACATTGTTTAGCAATGGAAATTCTGGTCCTAATTGCTGTTGTAACACATATGGCCTCCATTTTTATTTATGACAATTTATTCTTTGTTGATGATATTGTCTCTATATTCCTATAATATTTTGTTTCTTGAATGAAAATCCTATATTTTGGGGCACCTTGGTAATGTATCATTTCTGATTTACTTAGCTACCTCCAATAGGCTACAAGTATACTCTGGCTATCAGGAATGGTGAAGATGCATCAGCACTAAAGAGTGAATACCAGGAGAAGCTTCTTAAGCTTGAAGAGGTAAATGGTTCATGACCTTAATTCTTTAAAAGAAAGCAATGAAATGTCATAATGAATTATAGCTGCCTTCCAGATTAGAATCTTGTTAAATGTGGTGGCTTGGAGATTTATATTGTAGGCAGAATAGTTCTGGAGGACATAAGATTTGGAAAAGAATGAAGTAGAGAATTCCCTGCATTTCTTGAATGCTGATTGACATATTGTATATGCTAGGTGAACTTTTCTATTCTGTTCCCATCAGTTGCAGCCATTTTAAAGGCAAAGTTGTTTTTTTATTGTATGATACTCTGTTCCTAATAGGATCTTGTTTAGGGGTATACTGAACTGTCAGATCTAGTTTAAATAACTTTTCAATTTATATGAAGTTGTGTGAATCTGTCCCTAGGGGGAGCCATTCTCATACAGTACTTGAGTAGATGTGGCTTTAAGATTATTACTCTTTTTACAGGGAAGTTGCATGGCACAAGCCTTAACAACTGTGTCTCCCTTATTCTTTTTGCATCTTTTAAAAATTATCAACTTATAAAAAATTATGTTTATTTTAAGAGAAGGGAGGACCAGACCAGCACGAACTCAGCAGGTGTGCATGTTTTTACCTGTTCTTCCACAGAAAGGGAGGAGAGGGGCTTATAGATTCAGGAGGATGTAGAATGGAAAGAACACTGAAAAGAATCCACAAAGCAGCAGCACTAGGAATCAGGCTGCGGCTGTCTTTCTATCATTGCCCCAAGCATCAATAAGATGGACATTCTCTTCCTGAAATCCCAGGAAATTCATACACAGCTTCTCCAGATATGTAAAGTTCATGTCACCCTCCATGATTCACTGATTCTCTTGTCATTCTTTTTAGTACTCCTAACAGTTTCTTATTTTGGACAGATTCCTATTAACATTCTTTCTGGTATTCCTAACTTTAGCTAGAAAAGTTGGCAAATGAACGGTATTCTTTATGAGGTGATCTGCATGTATTTCATCAAGATAAAGTGGTGTGAAAATCAGACCTTTGTTTTAGATCCAAGATGGATTTGCAATTCTATTGAACACAAAAGACTATATCCCCTCATTTCTATCCAGTCCCTTCTTACAAAACAGACCTGGTAGAAGTTACATGTGCACATGGTATTAAGAAAATACTTCAAGTATACCCTAGACAAGTAATTGACTATACCCTAGATGATAGATACCTGGAGAGATGTGAATTTACACCATCCACCATCAGCAGGTAATTAGGGAAGGCATTGCTCTGGCATACTCAGCCAGCAAGAAACCTCCCTTTTCATCACACTCCATCTAATTAGAGGTTCAGCTACAACAGGGGTGTCAAACTGCCGGCCCATGGGCCAGTTTAGTTTGACACCCTTGAGCTACAATAACAGTTCTAACAGCAGGGCTCCCAATAACAGGGAAGTGACTTGTTGGTACCACCTATATTATTAAAACTGTATAGGATAGCCAAGTTTATCTAGCATTTGGTTCCATGTTGATACAGTGAGTCTCTTAATCTCTATTCTTGTTAGGAATTGGATAGTCCCTTTCCTGAAAGCTCTCTTTTTAATGACTGGAATGGTTGTTGAGTCTACCATAAAGTATTTTTCTAGTCATTAAAAGATGAAACTGATAATGTCACCTTCTCAAAAGGAGGCTAAATAAAAGATTTCAAGCAATAAAAGGTCTTGTTACTAATAGGTGTGTATCTGTTAGGATACTAATGAGTTATTCAGGAAAAAAAGGAGTTGAGCCACATTCAGCTGACTCTGCATGCGACTGGCGGGAGACGTTTTCTCCATAGCACAGGAAGAAATTTTAAACTTACGCTTTTTCATTAGAATAGTTGAAGATAACCCCTTCCATCTTTCAATGACTAGAATAATACTTCAGAATAAGCCAAATTGCCATTTTGATATTCCACAAACCATGGTTAAAATGCATTTAACCATGTGATGTGTAGATCAAATTTCTGAAGAAAGGCAAATAAGAAAGAAATACATCTCTCTATGTAGGAAAATGCACATTTCTGAAGCTGTTGCTTGTGCTAGCTCTCTTTATTAATCAGTGCCTTCATTTTTGTCCCTATCCTTTCCTGTTAACAAAATAGTACAAATAAGAATTAAGCCTTACTGGTGCATTAACACATATTCTTAAAAACTCTAACATTTAAATCATTTTAAAGGAGATGGACTTTAAAATGTTTAACAAGTCTGTTAAAGCTAACAGACTTGCGCATGGAGAAATACACTCTCATTAGTAGAAATACACTTATATACAAAACATTTTGTTTCAAGCCAGTCTGAGTGCAAGACTTGAAAAAATTTCCTGGAACTCATTTTGCAAAATGAATTATTTCAGGCATTCAGGAAGCTTTGGGAATTTGTTGAACTTGAAGCAAAACTGATCTGAACTCAAAACACTTCCAAGATCCTTGAATTGATCAGAGCTTGAGTTTTATGAAGATCCATATTTGAAACTGTTTACAGTGAAAAAATATCTTTGTACTCCTAATGTAAGATTGTTTCAGGCAGTTGTTTCTACTTTTGGATAAGACAGATCCTAAATAATACATGTATTATGGATCCATTTTTACTGTCCATCTTCTGTTTCACTCCCCCTCACTTAAGCACTTTTACGATTTCCCCCCTCATACTTTTCTTGTTTAAAATCTGATTTTACAGTATTCTTATTGTAACATTCCCATATGTTTTAGTTTTAACTCTATAGCTTAATTTCATATAATAGATTTTGAATTTTGGGAAAGAAAAGGTGTTGGCACTAACACCTCTATGTCTATTGTGCATTTCTTAAAACTTGGATTTAATGTTTCCTATACCAACCAGTGTTAACACAATTGAGCAGCATAGAAATAATTTAAATAAATACATCAAATTATAGATGATGCAGAATAAGAATTGCAGTGAACCATCTTTACCATCTTTCTGTAAATATGGGGGTAGGCCTTGCATTTTATTTAGAAATGTCACATCTTCCTATATCTTAGATGCTTGCAAACCACAAAACTAAGTTCTTTGGTGGAGATTCAGTATCCATGATTGATTATCTAATCTGGCCATGGTTTGAACGGATGGAGGCCTCCCAGTTAATTGAGTAAGTGCTTTGAATCTTTTACAGTTTTTGCTCTTAAATCCTGTGCATGGTTACTTTTGTAGATTACTGCAAGAAAAGCTATATTAGCCCCATGGTGTTTTATTTCTAATTTACATGGAAGTGATGTTATTAGGAGGCAAAAGAGAATAGGAGAATCATCTTTTTTCTGTTTTGAATATGTCCATTAATCTTCTAACTTTGCTGCATAAGGCAAGTATATGAAATATATTTTTCTGAAGCAGAATTTATTAGCAATTCGGTTTTTTTTCAGTTTAGACCAGGGGTCCTCAACCTTGGCAACTTTAAGACTTGTGGACTTCAACTCCAAGAATTCTGGGAGTTGAAGTCCACAAGTCTTAAAGTTGCCAAGGTTGAGGACCCCTGGTTTAGACTATCATTATTTTTCTTCTCGTGACTGATGCCCATGTCCATACTTCGAATTGGGTGTGATGGCTCTTGACATTCTGTTTTTCTGAGTTAGCAAATCAGAAATTAATAGCTTTGGAACAAGCAAGAAAATTAAGAGTCTACTGAGATTCTCAGTGATCCAGAACAGTCCTCTGTCAACAGAGGGGGAGGAATAAGACATCACCTATCTTCTGTCCACAATGCAGTCCTTTCAGTAGTTCCAAAAAGATGCCAGAACCATTTGCAGTCTGATTCAAGTGACCTGTGAGAGCACAGATAAACTCCCAGGTGGCCTCAATGACTCTTAGAGAGATGCTAAGAACCAGATAACTGCAAAGAAATGCAATCCTTCTATTCCTTCCTCCCCCACCCGACCTATCAGTATCTATCCTTCATCCCCCCACCCCACCCTCCAGTCACAACTGATGGAAGCTTTTTGGATGAGAAGTGAAAGGTTTTCTTCTTCCTCAAGGGAAAAAACAGTCCAGTTAACTTTTGAAAAAGCACCTTTGACACAAGAATATTGAGACAGTTTCAAATGATAGTCCTCTATTCCTCTTAACTCACAGGTGGAAGTAGAAAGCTTGGACTGAATTCTTTTAACACTGTTATTTACTTTCTATAATTGCTAATTGTCAGCAATACCTTTTTAGGTAGTACTTTGAAAGTTTCGGAAGCCAATAATATATGCAGGAAAACCCCTATAATTTGAACTGATAGAATTTGAAATAATGAAATCATGCATTTGATCTAAACTACAGGTTTAGATCTGTAGCACTTTCCCTTAAGGAGGTCAAGCACAACCCAAATTGAGAACCATATATCTTTCTACGTACACTTAGGAATGTAAAGGAGTGTCTTGAGCCATCTAATTTAATACATTCTCCATACTGGTTACTGAACACTATCTTAATGGAAACACAACCGAAGATAATTGCCTCAAAGTTTCGTTGTTACCTCAAATCTTTTTCTGTTCTTTTCCAGATGTTTGAACCATACTCCAGAATTAAAATGCTGGGTTGATATGATGAAGCTAGATCCAGCTGTTAAGGCTACAATAACTGATCCTCAAATCTTCAAGGGTTATCTTGAACTATATTTCAATAATAGTCCTGAGGCCTGTGATTATGGCCTTTGAAAACTATGGGAAGCTTTTTCAGGGATGACAAGGGATATTGATAGCTATTGCTCCAGCATGTCATCTGATATCAGTTTTGTTGTGCTTTGTGTTGTGTTATTCAATGAATATGTAATTGGACTGAAATAGTAATTATTTGCAATATGTTTCCCTTTCAAAAGGAAAATGGCCAACATTCATCAGGAAGAAAAGCTTTTTTTACCCTTATCTTTCTACCAATCTAACTGACAATGTTGATTTTTTTTTTTGCCTTGTTTATCGGTTTAGGGGAGACATCAATTTGACTTTGTTTCTGTTTGGAAAGTAATTATTGACTTTCAGGAATAAAAACACTTCAAATGCAGAGGTTTCCTTTTATTTGCAGCAGCAAGTTAAGATATATAGCAGGGTATGGGATCGTATATTTTATTACCAAGCTATAGCCATTCCAATTTGTATTCTCTTAGGGAAATGGATAGTAAATTGGAGCAAATTGGCATGCATAGAAAACTATTGTCCCTAGAGCAATGGGTTTTTGGTCTGGGAAGTTACTTTGGTCTTCTGTACTGTCTTTCAGCATGGCAGAGAGAATGAGCCATGACTATTTTTGTGAGCATCTAAAAATGTAATTCTCACACTGTTGCTAAGACTGACTACAGGTATTCCTCACTTAACAAGCTACAACACACTGAAAAAAGTGACTGATTTTTGCCCTTACACTTGTCACAGCATTGTCACAGTCATGTGATCATGATTTGAATCCTTGGCAACTGTTGTGCATTTATGATAGGAACAACATCCTCAATTGCCATTTGTGATCTTTCCAAACACTTTCAGCAAGCAATATCAATATATTAGTTTAATATATTTAGATGAAATCAGATTGGGGAAGGCAACTATATAGGAAGCATTTTGTTTTGTTGACTGGCACTTAAATTGAGATCAGTATGATAAATGCACACTTCTAATTTTCATTTACTAGTATTTATCTTAGGACATGACCTTCCATCTCAGGCTTGAACTTATCTTTGTCAGTCTCAACCATAAATTTATTGTTCCATATTTAAGTCTTTGTTTTAAATCAAAGTAAAATTGGAGTGTTAGATAGTGACTCTCTAGTTCAGGTGTTAGGGTTTGTCTAATCACACTTGGCCAAATAAAGTATTCAGTTCAATTCTAATTGAGAGTATTCTCTTCTAATCCAGGCTCCCGTTTGCTTCAGAAAATTTTGCATTGGCGTGAACTGTGATTCGTGTTGCCTTACCTGGTGCTGGTCTGTAGCAGCATGAGTACTCTCCAAGTAATAATGCCTGAAAAGCAGGTTAACCTAGATAGGTACAGTTGCATCAAACATGAATCCCCACATAAACGAGATGTGATCTACATGGTACAAAGTTGCACATATCTTTCTGCAAATTTGAATGGATGCTTAATGCAGTTACAGGTTCAAAATAACAAAACTATGAGTAGGTCAGACATTGGTTACTGGTATGTTTCTAGGTGCAATTCAAGGTGCTGGTTGTCACCTTTGAAACCCTAACTGGCTTGAGACCAGGTTACCTGCCTGATTGCCTTTCTCCAAAAGTCTCTACCCACCCAATTCAATTTAGTAGGTTGGGCACATTGGGCACACTTGAGGGTTTTTTGTGGTATCTTAACTGTTCCTAGCATTTTTTATTTACTTATTTGTATTGTGTCTTTATTATTTTTACAAATAACTCAACACACTTTCCTCCTCATATTTTCCCCACAACAGTAACCTTGTGAGGTGGGTTGGCTGAGAGTGACTGGCCCAAAATCACCCAGCCGGCTCTTATGACTAAGGCAGAACTCATGATTTCCCACTTTTTATCCTGGTACCTTAATCACTGAGACCAAACTGGCTATACTTTGGCCTTTACTTTCCACATCCTCTCCAGTTACTCCTTCAGGCTTTGGCATTTCTCCAGTTTCTCATACTCCTTTCTGATATTGCTGTCACTTGGTACTGCTACATCTATCACCACCATTCTTCTGACTACTACACAATGTCTGGTTGATGGGCCAGTAACTCTCTGTATATCTGGATCTGGAAGTTCCACAGGATGTTAGCTTTCTCATTCTCTATGACTTTTTTTGAGATCTCCTACCTGGATTTAGGAGGGACTAGCCCATATTATATGCAGATGTTCCTGTATACAATGCCAGTTATATATACAATATATTAAACTGTAACCTGCTAAAGAGTCATTGAGATGAGTGGCTATTGACATTGAACAAATTAAATAAACCAATAACATAATAAAAATACAATAGTGACAATTACCAATATTAGCACTAATCCTCAGTCATAAATAGAGGTACAGAATTAGGCAATCTGGGAAGATTTGTAGCGAGTTTTCGAGAGCATTTTTTATAGTAAGTTTTTTCCCAACCTGTAATTTAAAGTTTTGCAGTCCCAACAGGCCTGCTGGATAGCTGTTTGGGAAAAACCTGCTCATACTTTGATCTGTACAATCTACATATTTTGTTAATATTTTCTAAAACTGGGATTTAAAACTGGTTGCAAGTTTAAATTGTTAAAGTGTTAAATTTTAGTTGCTATTAGTGGGAGTAGGGCAAATATATTTTTGATGAGAAACTTATTTCAAAACTCAGTGTGGCAATAATGTGCAATACTGTAAAAATTCAGTGATCTACAATATAGAACCAAGGTTGAATTCCTTTGCAAACCAGAATAAGAGAAAAACATTTCAAAATTGCTGAGAGACAAACAGAAGCTTTTGGAATTAAAGTTGAGATAGCTAGATAAATAGATTTGGGCATCAGGCTGAGTTATTTTCTACTGCTGAAAGAGAACTTTCTATAATCATTTTCAATGCAGTGAAAGGAAGTGTGTTTCTGAAAAAAGCATTCATCTACCTACTAATAAAACTCTTTATGTCTGTAACCTTTAACTGAGTATAACAATGCATTGTAGGACAATTTTCAGTTAAGGTACCTCAAATGGGCTAAGAATGCAGAATGTGTTCAAAATCTGGAACCCATGACTCCCATGGAATGGAAATTTGGCAAATTTTATATAAAAAAGCTATCACATAAAAATTTTCATAAAGCTTTTTCTGACATAATACAAAATGTCATAAAACATTTCCTTTTGTAAACTGCTGATGTTTGACTGTGCTATAAGTTCAACAAAGACTACCTTTCAAGCCACATACATCTCTTGAGTATCTTCCTGAATTTTTAAGAACTTTTCAGTACATTAGGAACTCGGCCATTCTTGAAGGCATTGAGGAATCTGGTAAGGTAGTATCTCTTAAACAATGACCCAACAGATTGTCTACTTCTTTTATAAACTTTCCTTCAGATATGTCCTCTTATTGTTATATTCTTAGCTATTGGTTATATAGTTTTAAAATATACTGTGTACATTACTTTATGAGATATCAATTACAATCAGCATTTTACAGAATGTAAAAGGTATCTTAGGGAGGGAGGATTTATTTTCCCTTTCTGGTCATGATTTTAAGTGTGCACAACCAGTAAGCATTTTTTTAACTTTAAGTGATACGCACAAGAAAAAAGTTTTATGGATTTATTTATTTATACAAATATTAATACACCAACCCAATCCAGAGATTCTGGGCATTTTACCAGTCAAAAACACCTAGCCCCAACAAAAGTTGTCCAATATTTAGAAGCATAAATAATAATACACTAGGATATACCTTCATTTTAAATATAGCTGCTGATGGTAGTTTCATATCTACCTTCCTGTGTTGGTTGCATAGCTACCTGCATCATCAGGCAAGTTGTCCGATTTACACATTAAGTTGAATCACAGGGTTTAGTATAAGTCCTATGTTACTGGGGTTGACATGACATGACTTATCCTTTAGCTTTGTGTGGGACGTTTTGAATTCTCTCCTAAGAAAATTACACGCTGACGTCCGAAGACCGACAAAACGAAAATAAACCCGGGTAGAGGACGTGGAGTAGAATCCATTTGTCGTATTGTTCTTACGCCTTTTAATTCTTGTATTTGACTTTTAAACCTATATTTACACAGTCGATGGAATTTGCACTCTTCCTAACTGCGCTTATATGTACGGAGCCTCACAGTTAACCAGCAACTGTGTCCCAGAGTTTGCTACGCGGAATTATTTACCGCGATATCAATTCGCTCAGCCCGCCAAGTACTTTACTTCGCAATCAATCACTCAACTCGAAGTTCTTTAGCATTCGGCGGAGGGAGATGGTGCCTACCAATGAAGAGGGAGGAGCCAAACTGCGTCGAGAGGCTGGTGAAGAGAAAAGAGATAACCTTTGGGATTCCGATGTGCACATTTGGTTCTGTTTTCTGTCTGGTGGCACGAAGTAAGATGTCTGGGGAATTCGCTAGAAGCTTGGGAAAAGGTGAGAAAGCGCTCTGATCCAAGGAGGAGCGCGTTTATCTAATTCAGTGTTTCTCAACCTTGACCATTTTAAGGCATGTGGACTTCAACTCCCAGAATTCCACAGCCAGCATTGCTGGCTGTGGAATTCTGGGAGTTGAAGTCCACATGCCTTAAAATGGTCAAGGTTGAGAAACACTGATCTAATTCAACAGGGTTAAGGCAACCCTCGTTTCTAGGGCTGTTAGTTGTCGGTCTGGGCTGGTCTTCACGCACATCGTTTTTCAAGAGCTGGGGGACGACACGCAATGGAGTTTAGGGAGGAATATCGTGTCGTTAAGGATGTTACCCCTGATCCTTGATGTTGTGTGATCAGAAGCGATAAATGGATTTTAGTATTATTAGGATAAACAAAATGTTACATATTTAAAATTGTACAGCCAAATAAATATGTGTCGAGGGCGTGTACATTTCTAATGTGCCTTTTAGTGGAACGTGTGCTCCGATATGCAGCCTTGCCCCAGTATATTTACAGTATGCATGTTAACAGACATTAAACTTGAGTGCATAAAATTGCTTATAATTTGGCCAATAAGGAATATTTTAACAAAAGGACTTTGTATTCTGCCGACTCATTCATTGCTATTATGACTTAAATTTTAATATTTGTATTTGTAAAAAACACATGAAGCTTGGGTAATTTTAATCTTGGTGTATTGAATTAACTTTATTTGGATTTTTGAACAGACTGAACTATACACTAAACACACTGGGTGAATTTGTACAACACAGAGCCATAAACATAGTTCACAAGCTTAGCATATGTATAAAGGCAGGCTGTGTAAACTATTGGAATGAGTAGCAATAATTACTAGGTAGATAGAGAATATTTGTTTTGAGGGTTTTATTCCCTGCCTTTTTTTCTCTCCCTTTTAGGACCACAATTGAGCCCAAAATTTCTGTTGCTAAGTGAGACTTTTATTAAGTG